CATTCTCTCCCACCAGCTATTTTTACCCCGCTTGCCTTGGTTTTGCTCCATGTTTTAGCAAGTTCCCCAGTGCCGCCGTCACATGACCAACACTTCCATCTCCTTCCTCCATCTCGTGGCCCCGCAGCAGGGACAGCTCTGCGCCTTGTGACGTCTCCGTCCATCTGTCCCCATCTCTCAGCTCCTTCCTTTCCTTGCAGCCCATCCTGGAGGAGCACCACAGCACATCTCCCGTGCCAGCAGCCGACCTCTCCGTGCGTCCCGCTCCTCTCTCTCCCTTCCCTCCCACCAGGCCCACTGCAGAAGTCGCTCCTCCTCTCCTCTCTCGCTCTTCCTCCCTTTCTCTTGCTGGCTCAGCGCACACCACCAGGCAGCTCCAGGCACCTTGGCTCTGTTCTTAACCTGACTTTGCCTCCCCAGCTCTCTCTGTCCTCCCTGTCTGCCTGTGCGAGGGGGCTGTCCCTGTGCCGCCACCATTCCCCTCCCACCCCAGGTCTCCAACATTTCCATCAGTGCTGCGTGTGCTTGCCGTGCTGATGGGTGCCTGCATGCCCGTGCCTTTTTTGCCCCAGGGTTGGCACCGCCGTGCTCCGTCTGTCAATGTGCCCCCATACCGTATGCTATCCCTGCAGCTGGGGTGCACATCCCCTCCTTCCTTGGATCTGTCCCAACCACTCTGTGCCCATGTCCCCATCGTGCATCGTGGCAGCGTGGTCCTGGCGTGTGCCCATTGCTGCTCTGTCCATTCGCAACTCCATGCCCAGCTCCTGGGATCCACACAGGGACAGAGGGGGCTGAAGGACCCCGGGTCAATGGTGACAGCAAAGGGGACACTTATCAACCAGGCACTGTGGCATAAAGCAACTGGGCTTGGTCACACTAAGGGGACCAGTGGCGGTGCCATACCACGCTGGTGGCATGCCAGGTTTGAGAGACCCATGTGCTGGCACAGATTGTGGGGCATCCAGGGCAGCAGGCTGCTGCAGGCTGCCAGCATCTTGCAGCCTGGATCTGGCACACCCCGTGCTGCAGGCACCTCCTGTTCCCCTCCGCCCCCCTCTAGGGCACTCCTTCTCTCCCTGCAGGTTGCCAGCTGGTGGCAAGGCAGTGAACACAGCACCTGTGCCCGGGCAGACACAGCAGGATGAGTCTGATCGCAAGACGGAGCCACGCTCCTCTGTCTCCGACCTGGTGAACTCCCTGACCAGTGAGATGCTTATGGTGGGTCCTGGGGTGGGAAGGGGCTCTGCCGTGGGGTTGGCTGCCCCTTCTCTGGTCATAGCTTGCTGGCTGTGCCCCCCTCACGGGGACATGATGGCTGCACTGTCAGGAGGGATTTGGCTAATTGGTGCTCCCCGTTCCACTGGAGGGGAGACAGGGGTCAGCTGAGGAGATGCCCGCGGGTGGAGATGGGAGATGGGAGACGGGCTGATGCCTGCTGACAGCCGCCGAACTGCAGGAGCCAGCACTTGGAGCTCTGTGCGGTGCGGCCAGAGCAGCTGGGATGGGAACAACGGCCCCACTCACTGCTCCTTGTCCCTTTCTCACAGCTTTCGCCAGGCTCCGAGGATGATGAAGGCCATGATGGCTCCAACCGGGAGAACCTGGGCCGCATCCAATTCAGCGTGGGCTACAACTTCCAGGAGTCCACCCTGACTGTCAAGATCATGAAGGCACAGGAGCTGCCAGCCAAGGACTTCAGCGGCACCAGTGACCCCTTTGTCAAGATCTACCTGCTACCTGACAAGAAGCACAAGCTGGAGACCAAGGTGAAGCGGAAGAACCTCAACCCACACTGGAATGAGACTTTCCTCTTTGAAGGTATGGGCTGGCAGGGAAAGGGATGGACACCAACAACCGTGGGTGTCACCTCATGGCCTCCGTCTCCGGCGCAGGGTTCCCCTACGAGAAGGTGGTGCAGCGGGTGCTGTACCTTCAGGTCCTGGACTATGACCGCTTCAGCCGTAACGACCCCATTGGGGAGGTGTCCATCCCCCTCAACAAGGTGGACCTCACCCAGATGCAGACCTTCTGGAAGGACCTGAAGCCCTGCAGCGACGGCAGCGTAAGGCCCATGGGGAGGGGCCCTGGGGGCTGTGACTGTCCTTCTGATGTCCCATTAGGGTTAAGTCCTCGTTTGGGGTCAAAATGAGATATTTCGGGCAGACCTAAAATGAAAGATTTCTTTTCCTTCTTCAGGAAATGTCCCACTTGAGGCTGGCCCCAAAAGAGACACACTGGGGATTGCACTAAATGTGCCACTGAGGTTGGCCCAACGTGTACCACAAGGGCTGACCTCAGCAGTGTCCCATTAGGAATGACCCCAAAAAAGTCCCACTTGGGGATTTCGCAGAAGCATCCTACTGGGGATGGCCTCAAGATCATCTCACTGGCTATGGCCCCCCAAAATGTCCCACTGGTAGTGACCCTAGAACATTTCCCCGGTGATGGCCACTTTTCCTTCTGCCCAGCCCCAAAGCCCAGTCTTGGGCCAGCTCTTCATGCCCAACCCATTCCACCACCCTGGCTGCCTGGTGGGACCCTGAGGGTTATGGGTGCCCTGCAGGACTGAGGCTATCCCAGGGAGCCCCTCTTGGGGCTGGGGAGGCCCTGACAGCCTCTGTGTGCTCCACAGGGCAGCCGAGGAGAACTCCTGCTGTCACTGTGCTACAACCCCTCTGCCAATTCCATTGTGGTGAACATCATCAAGGCACGGAATCTCAAAGCCATGGACATCGGGGGCACATCAGGTATGAGCATGTTGGGCATCACACCCAGTGCTCGATTTGGGGGGCCGGGATGGTGATGTCTGCCTGGCTGGAGCTGAGCACCACACTGTGCCCCCAGACCCCTACGTGAAGGTGTGGTTGATGTACAAGGACAAGCGTGTGGAGAAGAAGAAGACAGTGGTGATGAAGAGGTGCTTGAACCCTGTCTTCAACGAGTCCTTCTCCTTTGACATCCCCACGGAGCGACTGCGCGAGACCACCATTGTCATCACCGTCATGGACAAGGACAGGCTGAGCCGCAACGACGTCATTGGCAAGGTGGGTCCCCGCTGTGTCCCCACCGTGGTGGAGGCAAAATGAAGACAACCAAGGTTTAATTTGCTTGAAGCTAAAGATGACAAACGAGCACAACCACTGTTGCCGCAGAGAGGCACCGCGTTGAGTCTGTGAGGGTTTCACGGGGGAAGTGCAGCGGCACTGTTGTCCCCAAGGGGTTGGACGGATGGGTGGATGGGCCGCTGCGTTGCGCTGATGTCTTGTGTCCCCTGCAGATCTACCTGTCCTGGAAGAGTGGCCCTGGCGAGGTGAAGCACTGGAAGGACATGATTGCGCGGCCCCGGCAGGCGGTGGCGCAGTGGCACCAGCTGAAAGCCTGAGCCTCCAGTGTTGGGGACGGCACTGGGGACGGCGCTGGGGACATCCCTGTCCTCGTGTCCCCACTGCAAGTCAAGACTTGTGCGAGTGCTTCCAGCCACAGTCCCCAGAGCCCTCACCCCAGTGTCACCCCACATTTTGGGAGGCTGCTGGTGTAAGGGCGGGAGGGTCCAAGCCAAGCTCCCCTCCCTTCCCACTCAACACAACCTCTCCTAGCCGCCAGTGTCACCCTAGCGGGATGATGTCCCCGCATCCTGCCCCGTCCCCACCCCGGGGACACCCAAGGGATTGGAAGCCATGCCGCGGTTCGTTTGCCAAAGCAGGAGCATTCATCACTGCCTCTGGTGGGGTTTGCTGCTTTACCTCCCTCCTGGCTTATCCCCTGCCCCCTCGCACCGTGCTATCAAGTTGTCACCCCTGGTAGGAGCACCTGGCACAGTGTCCCCTCCTGGGCTGACATGCACCACCTTCCTTGTGGGCACTGCATGAGGATGGAGCAGTGCCACCATCGCCATCCCTGTTGTCATTGTCCCCACTGGTGGCTTTGGGGGCTAGCATCCGGCCGGCACAGTGCCAGCAGTGTCCCTAAGCTCCCTCGGCACCGTGACGAGCATCCCCGATGCCAGGTACCCATGGTGTGGGTGCTACAGGAGCGCAGATGGCACTGCTTGGCACCCCTCAAAGGGCTCCCTGCTCTGCTGGGTGTCAGGGATAAGGTGGTCTGCAGGTGTCCCCAGAGTCCCGTGGGTACATCACAACGTTCTCTGGCAGGACACAGGCCACCCCTGCCCGCCTGGGGACACCATGGGGACTCTGCACCCCAGTCTTCCTGCTGCCACGTGGCACATGTCCCCTTGGTCGGGACATCCCCAGGATGGGACATCCTCAAGGTTGGGACGTTCCTGTAAGCATCAGTGGCTGTGCCCCAGCTGCTGGGGTTCATTCATCGCGTGGGGAACCCCGTGCCAAACCCAAGGAGCAGCCATCACAGGGGTGCTGCCCTTCCAAGTGGCCCTGGGTCACAGTGGCACTGTCCCTGTCCCACCACCAGTGAGTCCACCGGAGAGCCCCATCAGACCACTATGGACAATCTGGAGCGAAGTCATAATTCTGCTACGACAGTAATAATAATAATAATAATAATGACGACGACGATGCTTTTAGGGACATTTGTATTTTTACCACATCCTCTCTTTTTTTAACATAACAGAGGAGAGCCATGCGCCTGGGGAAGGGCCGCACAGAGCTGAGGGGTGAGGGGTCCCCAAAGAAGGGAGTGGGGCAGGGTGCCCACGTCCTCCCCCCGTCCCCCATCACCTCGGGGCTGTGTGTTCATTTTTAACTCTAGAGCTCTTAGCCGTGATCTTGTTCAGGTCTCTCTCTTCTTCATGTGACGGTAACATCCAAATGGTGTGTAAAATACAGAGACAAAACAGAAACAAAACAAACACAAAAAAAAAAAAAAAAAAAAAAAAACAAAACAACAACAAAAAAAGAGATGAAGCACGGGGGGGGGGGAGAGGGGGCAGCCTGGTGGAGGCCTCTTTGCAGAATCCTATTTTTAGGGAGCGGGGACCCTCATTTTCTGGAGGCAGCTCCCACTCTCGGTAATAAAGGACTGTGTGAATCTGCCCGTGTTCCTTATCTTTATGGGGTGGGGGGCAAGGGAGGTCACAGTGTCACCTGCATGTGTTGTGCACGCCCTCAAGCACACAGCAAATCCCCAAGCACTGAGTGTCACCCCCAACATTGATCATCCCCCACAACGCTGAACATTCCCTGTTGGGATGGGATGGGGGTGGGTTTGGAATGGCTTGGGGATGGGATTGGGGATGGATTGGGGTCAGGGCTTGGGGTTGGGTTGGGGATGAGGTTGGTTATGGAGTATGGGGATGGGGGATGGGGACAGGGTTTGGGGATGGGGTTTGGGAACGGGTTGGGGATGGGGTTTTGGGATGGGGCCTGGGAATAGGGGTAGGGAACAGATTTAAAGATGATGGGGTAAGGGAATGGGGTTTTGGGAATGGGTTTAGGGAACAGATTTAAAGATGGGTTTGGGGATGGGGTTTTGGGTATGTGTTTAGGGAATAGATTTTAAGATGGGTTTGCGGATGGGTTGTGGATGATCCTTGGGATGGGTTACAGGGTGAGATTTGGGCTTGTTTCCCCCAGGAGGTTCTGTACACACAGGGCACAAAGCTACCATGCCCAGCACAGCGCCTGTCCCCAGCACAGGGGAAACACGGCAGCCTGGCAGCATGGTCGAGGCTCAGGTTGCTGTGATAAATAATTGTGCGGACGCTGCTCTTGAATAAATGAAAGAAATTCCAGATGCAGGGCTGGCAGAGAGCGATGCAGTCGGCACCTTGGGAACATGGCTCCTCTCGAGTGCCAGAACAGGGGACAAAGCAGCTCCCTGGTGCCACTGGCTTAGGGCTGCACCCTGCTGAGCCACAGCTCAAAATTTTGGCAGCGTGGAGCCCTTGGTAGCAGCAGGGCTACGGCAGAGCCTGGATTCCTGTGGCATCTCCGCAGTGATCCCCAGCGCCTGCAGTCAGCGGGAGCAGATGGAAATAGCAGCACGTTCCCAGCTGCAAAACACGTATGGGGATCTGTGAGCAGGCGGAGAGGGATATATATAGAGACAGACGTATGGATGATGCACTGCAACGGGGCCGGCACCCAAAACACTTCCGATGCCTGCAGCAGGTCCTGGATCCCAGCCCCATCCCAGCACATATCCCAAAGCTGAGAGGGATGGGGAATTAGAATGCAGGGGGGAAAAGGCATTGGAAAGGCAGGGAGACCTCTGCAAGCATCACAAGCTGTAGGCACAGGCTGGTGACACTCAGGACCACCCGAATTCTGTGCCCTGCCCCTGTTCCCCAGGGGCAGACCCAGACTCCAAAAAGGCAACCAAAGCCCCACATTAGGTTTTATCAACCCCCATTGTTGCAGGGCTGCCAGCACTCCCAGGCATCCCACTGCTTCCCTGCAGCCCAGAAAATAGCTGTAAAGGAAAAAGGACGTGGAAGGCACGCGGGCTGGCTGCTGGCCTCCAACCCCAACCCCCTGCAATTAGCAGTGGATGTGCAGCCAGTGAGCCCAAGAGCTTAGGGATGGGGTTGCATCCCGACACACAAATCAGAATAAGGCCACGCACTGCACTCATAGCCCTTCCCCAACAACCCCCCTGCCCTGAGAACTGACCCCACTGCTTTTCTCACACCAGATTTGTGCTTTTTATTGCCAAACACAGCTGTGGACCGTGAGCCTCAGTACTTCTTCTAAGGCACGGCATGGAGCTCCTCTGCATGGTGAAGGCTGCAGGTGAGGTTTTCCATTGCCTTCTTCCAAAAATCTGGAGAACGGGAGCTCAGCACGCAGAAGAACTTTGTGTGTCCATCCCAAAACTCAATGGGCAGTGGGACCAGTGACTCCTTCTCCCTCCTCAGCCAAGGAGCCAGGAGCACAGAGAATCCACCGAGGACGTACCATAAAAGGTACCCAGTGCTGCACTGCTCATTCTTGGGACAGAGGCGTCGCACAGTCAGAGTGGAGTGACGCTTCCTCCATCCAAAAACTGAGCCCTGTGTCTATTTGGGATGCTCCAAGGCACCCTGAGCTCCTCAGATCTGGTGCTCAGCGTCTCCACAATCCCTCACGGCGCGTCCTGCAGCAGCGGGGATCCATCATCCCGCGGGATCGTCCCAGTGCCTTCCGCCTCCTCTTCCTCAAGTTGCTGCTGCTCCCGCAGCCGCTCCTCCCGCGCCTCCATGTACTCCACGGCCCCGCTGCCCACCAGCCGCACCGTGTCAGCCACGCAGGGCGGCTGCCGCACGGGGTTGTGGTCATAGGAGAGCAGGGAGAGGCCGGCCAGGCACTGCAGGTCAGGGAAGCGGGCAATGCGGTTGCGATCGAGGTCAAGGATGCGGAGCTGAGTCATGCGCAGCAGCACCGGGGGAAAGTGCTGGAAACGGTTGCCGTACAGCCAGAGGCCCTGCAGGCCGGCCATGCGGGGCAGGCAGGAGGGCAGGCGTGCCAGACGGTTGTCTCCCAGTTGCAGGCTGCGCAGGCCGGGCAGGCCCAGCAGGGCGTGGGGGAAGCGACCCACGAAGTTGCCCTCCAGCCAGAGGCAGCGCAGGCTCTGCAGGTGGCTGAAGGCAGGCGGCAAGCCCTGCAGCCCGTTGCGGCCCAGGTAGAGGTACGCCAGGCAGGGCAGTTGGCACAGGGCCTCGGGGACCTCCATCAGTTCGTTGCCATCCAGCGCCAGCGTGCGGAGATGCCGCAGGGACGCCAGCTCGGCCGGCACGTCACGCAGCCCGGCACCGCTCAGGTACAGCTTGCGAAGCCCACGCTGTGCCCACAGCGCCGGGGGCAGCTGCCCGCCCCGAGCCTCCAGGCGCTGCTCCACGCCCGCCGGGCCCTCAGCCGAAATGGGACACGTGGAGCCGCCGCTGCCCATCGCCTCCGACTGAAGACACCGGCACCCGAGCAACGCAGTACAGCTGGGGGCGGGGCCGAGGGCCACGCCCCTGGGCTCCTAGGCCACGCCCTCGGGCTCCTAGGCCACGCCCTCTCAGCGCAGAACCAACCCAAAAAGCCACGCCCCTATGCCACAGGCCACGCCCACCAACCGATGCCACGCCCCCCCTACTTCGTGCCCCTCCCCTCAGCTGTAGGCTGAGCCCCCCGACACAACATTTCCAGCACGGCTCCCTGTATTTCAGGGTTCCCACCATCCTGGCCCATGCGGGGGTCCTGCGGCCCCCGTGAAACGGCACAGAAATCCATGAGGTCCCCACAGTGCCACGCCAAGATGATGCCTGGTCCCATGGCGGGTGAGCAGTGGGGCAGAGACCATAGCTTGGTATGGGGACAGACAAACAGACGGGGGAATGGCAAGCTGTGGGGTGACCCACTGTGCCTGAGTACCTGGAGGCAGCGGACACTTGTACCAGGAGCTAGCAGTCACAGCTTTATTTGTTGTGCCCTGAGGGAGAAGCTGTCAGTTTGTGGACTCAAAGAGGTACTCCAGGTCCGGCTGCCGTAGCCTCTGCTCCTTCTTCTTGTTCTTAGCAAGCTCCTTCAGCATGGCCATCACCTCGTTGTCGAACACAGCCGGCGTGGGCTTGGCTTCTGCAAATAAGAGGCAGAGCGTAGGAGAGCAGCTCAGCGCTGCCCCAAGTCACCCACATGCAGTGCACACGTACCTGTGGCCCAGTAGTAGATGTCCCAGTCATTGCTAGGCTCGTTGATGAGCCGGTCATAGAGGTTCAGCTGCCGCTCGTCCATACGGCTCAGGTTCTCCTTGGCAAAAAGGCTGCAGGAGAATACATGGGGGTAAGCGGGACACAACCTCCAGCCTGAGAAAAAGCTCCTTCCTGCCTTTGCCCTGTCACTATCTGTGCAAGGCCCCACCTGAGCAAGATGCAGTTCTCAAGCATGCCCCTCTTCCTGCTCTCATACAGCAGACGCGCTCTCTTGGTGGACAGAGGCTCATTGGGGCGCTCCTTCCAGGGCGGCAGTGGGATCTCCAGCATGTCCTTCCCTGAGTCACCCAGTGACCCCCCGCTGTAGCCACGTGGCACGCACAGCATTGCCAGCGCTGGGCGGCGCAGTGTGCAGTGGGGCAGCGAGCACAGCTGCCAAGGAGATGGGAAAAGATGAGGAGAGCCCTAGCAGAGCCCCACGACCCCCCAGTCACCCCCATTCCACGTACAGCCCACCTATTCCCCAACACAAGACACATCCCAGGCCCTGCTAAGCCCCCGACCCCACACACTGCCCCTCGTTCCCCCTCCAGGCTCCAATCCCTCCTACCCTGCTCGTGGCTCCATCCTCTCACACCCCCCTTATGTCCACACTCAGCTTCACATTTCACCCCCAGACTTCGCTGCCCCATTCCACACTCCTCATAGGACTTTCCCCCCAGACCCCTCATCCCCTTCTAGTCCTCAGAAACCCCAGTCTACTCCCATGCCACACAGCCCCACTGCCTCCAAACCCCTTCATTCCACAGGCCCTGATGTTCCCACCCTATATACAGACTCCAATCCCCTCCAAGCACCAATCCCCTTGTATTCTCCCCCAGGCAGCAATGCCCTCCAAGCCCTACTTTGTCCCCATTTCCTCTGCAGATCCCAATGCCCCCATTCCTCATAGGACCCCCCAGACCCCTCATTCCCCTCTGGTCAGAAACCACAATTCCACAGCAAGTCTTCAGGCTCCCCCATTCCCAATCTCCTCCATCCCACATACAGACCCCATTTCTCCCCATGCAACAATTACCCCACATTCCCCACCAGGCCCTACTCCTGCCTGTTTCCCCTCCAGGCCTCAATCCCACTTCCCACTCCACCTCTAGGCCCCATTCTCTTACTGTTCTCCCCTTCTAGGCCCTAATCCCCCTCCTCCCCCGTTCCTCTCTAGCCCTAATCCCCTCCCCGTTCCCCTCTAGGCCCCAACTCTCCCCCATTTCCCCCCTATTTCCCTTCAAGGCCTAGTCTTCACACACAGCGCCAAAGCAGAAGCCCACTCCCACTTTCCTCACTGCCCCCCAGTCCCTCGCCCCGGTATCCCCAATTAGCCACCCAAAAATCCTTCCTACAGCCTCCGTCAGCCCGCAGCCCCTTCTCACCCTGCTCATCGCCATGATTCCTCCCAGCCCCACCACCACCAGGGGGCGTTCTGCACACCCAGCCCTCTCGACTCTATGGCAGGCAGGGAGGACCGGAAGGGGCGTGACGAAAGCAGGAGGAAGCGGAAAGGGGCGTGGCAAATGCGGGCGGGAGCCGGAAGGGGCGTGTCAAAGGTGGGAGGAGGAAGCAGGAAGGGGCGTGGCGTGGCGGCCCTGGAGGTGGCGGTGAGCGCTGTTGGCGCGGGAGCGCGGGAGTTTGGGGCCTACAGCGGGGGGGGGCCTCACCGGGTGGGGGACGTGGGAACCCCGCTCCCTTCCTGATCCCTAAATCCCGAGCGAGGGGACGTGAGGTGGGGGAGGCTCGTGCTTTGGTCGAGGGGCCTGTTGTGCTCGCAGGGCCCGTTTCGGGGCAGGCAGGGCCCTGAGGGGGTGTGATGGGGGCAGTAAGGGTGCTGTGGTGACTCATTCCTCGCCGCAGAGCCCCTTCGGTGTGCTCTTCGCCTTGGAACATGTCGGAGGGAGTGGACCTGATTGATATCTACGCTGACGAAGAGTTTAACCAGGTGTGGAGGTTGGGAGGGGGAGGCACGCAGAGGGGGTCTGGGCAAAAAAAAAGTGGGTTTGGGGGCACACGTGGGGCTGGGATCGGTCCCGTGGGTCGGGGAATTCCCCTGGGACTGCTCTTACTGCGAAGAGTGGGCCCTGGATGTCTAGGGGCCCCACTGGGACAGCTCTCAGAGTGAGGAAGTGGCCTCAAAGGGCAGTGAGCTCCTCCTAGAATAGTTTCCGTTGCTGTTCTCTGCTCAGTTTAGGGGTTCTTGGGCAGTTTGGTGGTAGTTAGTATCCATGGAGCTTGGGAGAGGTGACTGGGGGAGGGAAAAGTAGGCACGCAGAGGTTGTAGGGCTGTAATTCCAGGATATAAAATAATGGAGAAACTCTACAGCAGTTCTAAATGAATGCTAAAGTGAGAGCTGAAGAAAAAGAGGGGCTGCTCTAGACTGGGAGTTTTAGGGGCAAAACTGAGAGGGACAGTGTGAGCCCACCCCGTGGAAGGCATTGTGGAAAAGCATAACCACAGAGAGTTTGGGGTGTGGGGCACAAAGGGTGCCGTAGCACAGCTGGATGGATGGAAGCTTCAGGAACTGGAGCTGGTTGTGGTTGGAGGAAAGATGGTGGCAATGGGCAGCGCTTGCAGGTTCAGTGTTGCCTTGCTAGGATCTTTGTAAAGGGGAACATCAAAACACAAGCAAACCCGGAGGAGCTATGAGAGTTCCCATGTCACAGCAGCTCCTGAGCGATCCCTGCCCCAGCACCTATTCCTATTCTCCAGAGCTCTCACAAGCAGAAAGCTTCCAGGCCTTGGGGCAGGAATGTGGGAGGCAGAGGAACTGGGGCTGTTCAGAGAATGAGGACAAAAATAACTCCCTATTGGAATTTCTGTAACCTTTTTATCAGCCAAAGGAGCCTAATGCCAAAAATTATGGCTTTCTTTAGGAACGGTTGTCAAGGAGAGAGCATCAGAGAGGATATGGTTTCGTACTGGGTTTCTCTGAACCTTAGGGCTGCCTGCTGACGAAGAGTGGCATCTTCTGCATGTGAAGATGGCCTCAGGGGTCAGAGGGTGGCTTTCTGGAGGACTTGGAGAGGGGAGGGATCAGCCCTTGCAGTGCTGAGGCAGATCTCTGGGTTTGTGCTGCCCGGGAGCTGGTGAGCTTCCTCAGTCACAGCTTCATCCTAAAGGCTGAACTACTGCGGAGAGCGCACGGAGAAAGTTGGTGGCCTGAAAGAGAGTGCAATTGTGCTGGTGGAGCCAGGTGATGGAACTGCCTGCGGGCAAGGAGGGGTCTGGTACCTGCTGAAGGGAGTAGGAGGCTCAGCCCTGAGGCGTTTGGTTTCTGCTTCTGCATTGATGAGATTGGTGCATAGAACAAGCTGGATCTTGCCCAGTTGCTGAGGTCACAGCCAGCAAGCCAGCTATGGAGAAAGTGGAGGAGGTGGCCCTGGGGACGGCAGAAGGCTTTGGGATGTGACACTCCATAGGGCTGAGAATTGGCTTCTACTGGGCGGTGCTGGGAGTGTTTCAGTAGAACAGGGCAGTTCACATAGCCCCCCGTGTGCTCTAACAACCCAGAGAGCCCTTCCTGAGCCAGAGTATCAACCCCAGCTTCCCTTTAACCGTCTCTCCCCTCGCAGGACTCAGAGTTCAGTAATGCTGACCAGATGGACCTGTATGACGACGTGCTGACTGCCAGCTCGCAGCCCCCCGAAAGCCGCACCGGCAGCTTGGAGCCCCCCCCTGAGATCCGCCAGGAGCCCCCTCCCAAACCCAACAGCAAAGCCCCTGCCATCCTGTATACCTACAGCGGGCTGCGCAACAAGAGGGCAGCTGTCTACGTGGGCAGCTTCTCCTGGGTGAGTGCTTTGGAGGCACAAACAAGTGAGGGTTCTTTGGAGACGTAGGGTCGCTTGGGGCAGTGGTTCTCCTTCCTCTGTGCTGAGCCAATACTCCAAGCTGGGCTTGGCCTAAGGGAAAAGGGACTCTGTAGCCCTGAGAGGCCATGGAGCCAGCGGGAGGGCTGCGTTTGGGCCTGGGGTGCCGGGGAGGCTGCCGGAGCTGAACACAATCCCAGCCTCTGCCTTGCTGCCCCACAGTGGACAACCGACCAGCAGCTGATCCAGACCATCCGTTCAGTGGGTGTATATGATGTGGTGGAGCTGAAGTTTGCGGAGAACCGAGCCAATGGCCAGTCGAAAGGGTGAGAGCTGAGGGGTAAGGGAACGTGGGAGAATGGGGTAGCCGGGCCCCCCATAGCCACGTCCTGGGGGCGGTGAGGGGGCAGAGCTTTCCCTAGCTGGCACGGAGCAGGGAGGATGAAACGCGGGCTGTCCACAGCGCAGGCATTGGGAAAGGGAGGGGGATTGATGGAGGCACGAGCTCCGTGCTGCTTGGTGTGGGTTGTCAACCTGCGAGGGGGTGAAGGGCCGGGAGCCTGCTGACCGCCAGCCCTCCTTGCAGGTACGCAGAGGTGGTGGTGGCCTCTGAGAACTCAGTCCACAAGCTGCTGGAGCTCCTGCCTGGCAAAGTGCTCAATGGGGACAAGGTGGAGGTGAGGCTGGCCACCCGGCAGAACCTGTCCCAGTTCGAGGCTCAGGCTCGCAAACGTGAGTGGGGTGCAGGCGCACCGCGGGCAGCTCCCTGGGCCCCACTGAGCCGTCAGGACAAGACCTTGGGGTGTGGGGGTAAACCACCAGCAGCCTCTGGGGTTATGTCCGGTTGCTTCTGAGTCTGCTTAGATCCTGACCCGAGTCTTTATGATCCCCTTTTAGGTGCTCACTCACTGCGAAGATCCCTCGTAGCCTCCTCTTCCTCCTCTCCAAACTGAATGGGCTTAAGCCTACCAACATAGCTAAGACCCTCCATATCTATTAGTAGCTCTTCTCTGGATCTCCTCCAGAATTTGTCCATCCCTGCGGAGGTAAGGTGCCCATCACTGGACACAGTATTCCAGCTGGGGCCTGGCCGTGGGCTTTCTACAATGGCCATAGATGGTCCTAGCCTCACTCCGCAGCGATGTGACGCCCTGGCCCCGCACTGGGGGGCTCTGCAGAGCCCGCACGGACGGACTTGGCAGGAGCACGGACGAGGAGGTCTTGGCCAGCTGTGTTCATTGTAGACCCCATGACCCATTTTGTGCAAGGAAAGCCCATCTTTCTAAAGGCTTTGGCCAAGGTTCAGGGGGGTAGCTGCAACTATCGCACTCTTCCTTTGGCCCTGTTGCTGCTTGGCAGCACTGTTGGGCCGTGTCCCTGCCCACCTTCGTGGTTCAGTGGCCAGGGTTTGTGCACTTTCAGCCTCCCTGAGGGGTCTCGTAATGGCTCGGCAGCTTTCCCAGAGCTCTGTCCCCTCTTCTCTCCTGGCTCATCCCGAAAGCCTCATCCTCAATTCCTGCCCTTCTCTTCCAGGGCAGTTTTTCCTTCCTACAGCTGTTGGCACTTGGTTCTGCCCCTGCATCCATGCTCATGCTGCCTGCTTGAGCAGACTGCAGGCGCTTGGGGCTGTTTATTGCCTTCAGGAAGCTGGGCTCTGGCCATCTCTCCCCATTTCTTTTCACCCCTGTCCTCATCCCCGCTCTCTCTGTGGCCACTGAAAGCGAGCGTCCCCAGGACGCTGTGCGGGTGGCCGCGGGTGACCCTTTTGGAGAGGCACGCGTAAGTGGAGGCTACGTTTGGCTGGCTGGATCTTTCCCTGGGCACCCTGAATTTTCCTAAGGCTGAACCTCACGCGCGTGTAGGGAAGAAGAGGAGGAGGTCAGTGCGGGGCAGGCGGGACCTCTGGCCGCAGCTCACTGCCCTTCCCGTGCCCCTTGCAGGCGTGCCGCCGAGGGCCCACTCACGGGACTCCTCTGACTCACTGGATGGCCATGCCACACCAACGGAGAATGCGCTGCCGCCCGGCCGCCTGGAGAAGCCCCCCTCCATCCTGCCCTTCTTCAACCGCCCCCCCGCTGCCCTGCCCCTCATGGGGCTGCCCCCACCACCCATGCCCCCTCTGCCGCCCCTCTCCTCCAGCTTTGGCGTCCCCCCCCCGCCGCCCGGCATCCACTACCAGCACCTCATGCCCCCTCCACCCCGACTGCCCCCGCACCTGGCTGTGCCCCCCCCAGGGGCCGTCCCCCCGGCCCTGCACCTCAACCCGGCCTTCTTCCCCCCACCCAGCGCGGCCCTGGGGCCTCCACCTGATGCCTACGGCAAAGCTTTGACCTCGTACAACCACAGCAGGTGAGCGGAGGGCGGAGGGGGGCTCGGCGCCATCGGGGGGAGCTGCGCTGAGCCCTCCGCTCTGTATCTGCACAGCCGGGAGCTCGGTCCACCACCTGCCCCTGTGAGCGAGGTGGAGTTCGAGGAGATCATGAATAGGAACCGGGCCATCTCCAGCAGTGCCATTTCCAAAGCGGTGTCGGGTGCCAGCGCGGGTAACGGTGACTGCGTCCCTGTGCCCCGTTGTCCCCTCAGCCCTGAGCCTGCAGCTTGCCGCATCCCTCACCGTTCCTCTGCTCCCCACAGGTGATTACAGCGATGCCATCGAGACCCTCCTGACGGCCATTGCCGTCATCAAACAGTCCCGCGTTGCCAACGACGAGCGGTGCCGCGTCCTCCTCTCCTCCCTCAAAGACTGCCTGCACGGGATCGAAGCTAAGTCCTACAGCACAGGCTCCAGCAGCAGCTCCGCCAGGTACCCTGCCTCGAGGGGCTGCACGGCTCCTTGGGGTCTCCGCAGGTGACCAAACGCTCTTCTTCCCCCCAGGAAAAGACACCGGTCTCGGGAGCGCTCTCCCAGCCGGTCCCGTGAGAGCAGTCGGCGGCACCGGGACGTCCTGCACAGCGAGGATCGGCACGAGGATTATTTCCAGGAGCGGAGCCGGGAGCACGAACGGCACCGGGACAGGGACAGAGAGAGGGACCGGCACCACTGAGACAGGTGAGGCTAGAGCGGGTGCCGCTGCGCCAATGGCTGGGGACGCGTGCTGCTGCAGTGCTGACCTCGCTTCTCTTCTCTCTCGTGCAGAAGTTTTCAGTAAGTGGTTTTTAATGGACTCGTATCTCCTCACCTTGACCAGGACTGCGCCACTGACGCTGCTTCACCCCTCGCCCGCCACCCACAGCTCTTCTGGGGCACCCAAGGGACTCCCTGACACCTCGTGGCCTTGGGGCCTGAGCCCTTGCTTACACCCACTGCTACTGCTGCTCCCGGAGGAGAGGCTGAAAGCCAGGGGGCTCTGCTCTGTGAATACTTGGACCCAAAGAGAAATGGTGCTTTATTTTCATGGAGGAAGGCTCCTGAGCCCTTTCCTTTCACAGCCCTCCAGGAGTGGCTGGAAATGGACAGATCCTCGGGGGCACGGGGGCTCAGAGGCACGCAGCTTCCCGTTTCAGCTGGAAGAGAGCTGGGCTGGGGTCACCCCCTTTGCCCCAACTTTCACAGCAGGATCGCAGCCAGTTCATCTCCCAGAGCAGCAGCTCTGGCTGCCAGGAGTTGGTGGGGCCTCGCACGAAGCCAGCCTCTCCCACAGAGCCTTCCTTGTTTTAGAGGAAGCAGAGCTGCAAACGCAGGGACTGTGTCTCCCCTTCCCAGCAGCATTCTGCACACAGTAGTGTACTTGCAAGCTGGGACAGGTGGCAGAGACAAGGCCACGAGGTCCCTATGCCCAGTAGGCTGCACAGTGCTGTGCACAGCTGTTTCAAGGTCCAGGAGGAGCTCATAGCCCCATACAGGTCCCTCCAACTAAGGTTGTGCACTGGAGGAGCCCAAAAGGTTCAAGGCAAACTAAGGAGCCCCAAACCACCAGCCAGCCCCCCGGGATGCCAGTTGGGTGGCATCGCCTTCAGAACTGTTGCTGGACAGGAGAAACGCGGCTCCACAGGTCTTTTTTTAGGCTAAAATCACAAAAGAAAAATTCTGTCAAGTACCACGAGGTGCCTGCCAGCTTAGCAGGCGAACGCTGGGGGGAAGCATTTGGTGGGTGAGTTCTGGTTTTTGTTTTTTTGTTGTTTTTTTTTCTACTTAACGACACAAGTTTATAGTTTCTTTCCAATTAGTGGGGGGAAAAGTGCAGAGCGAACCCCTGTTAACCACCTGGCGAGGCGCTGCCCCTCCTGCCCACAGTGACTAGGTTTGTTTGTCTTTCTGATAGGTTGGAAATTGTGTAATAAACTTGATGACATTGTCAGTCTTTTATATGGCATTTTTGAAGAGATTCTGTCAGGGATGAAGGTGTGGGCGTCGTAGGGGAGTGCAGCCACATTTGAGGGATGGGCAGCAAAAGCCAAGCACCTACATGATCTCCCCACCCAAAGTCTTCCAGGGCCTTCCCAAGAGCTTCTGTGCCCCCCCAGGTTAGCTCAGGGCAGGGGTTGGCACTGGTAATGAGGTGCCTGAAGCCTCTGAGCACCCTATGGCCAGCCTGCTGCCCTGGAGGATGCCATAGACTGAGGCACCAGGTAAAAATACATATTTATTGGAAAATAGTGATTTCTTCTGACAATGCTGTAAAAAAAAAAAAAAAAAAAGAATTTCTCTGTACCTTGAACTGACCTGTGTGTCACAAGCCTTGGGGTCAGGTGGCAGCAGGGCCAGCGCTGCCTGGGAAGGCAGGGAGAAGCACCCTCCTGGCACTGGCCACAGGTGCTGGCGTGGGTCTGGCTCACTGCCACAGGCTGGGAGATGTAGCCAGTGCCACCTGCTTGCTGCCATCTCGTGTACCTGTGCTGCTGTGGTCCTCTGTTGCAGGGTCTCAGTACACATCTGTGCTGTAAAGGACAGAGGAGGACATGTGAGGAGAGGCTCAACCACCAGAAGGCTGTGCTGCTGTTCAGTGAGACCTGGACAGGCTAAGATTTGGGTGGGGGATGAACCTGATGAGGTTCAACGAGGGCAAGTGTAGGGTCCTATGCGTGTAACTGCGTACAGCAGTGCAGGAAGGGATCTCCAGAGAAGGATTTGGGTGTCCTGGTGGATAATGGGTTGGCCATGACCCAGCAGCGTGCCTTTGTGGCCAAGGATGCCAATAGTGTCCCAGTTGACGAACACTTGTCCATACACTAGCAGTGTGCTCTCATGGCCAAGAAGCCCAACAGGACCCTGGGGTACATTGTGCAGAGTGTGGCCAGCAGAGCAAGCAAGGTTCTCCTCATCCTCTGCTCTGCCCTGAGGAGGCTACATCTGGAGCAATGGGACCAGTTCTGGCTTCCCTGGCTCTTAGTAGATAGGAAACTGCTGCAGTGCTGCAAAGATGGTTGAGGCCTGGAGCACCTCCCTTACAAGGCTGAGAGCCCTGGAGCCATTCTGCCTGGAGAAGGGAAGGCTGAAAGGGGATCTGATCAATGCTTATCAATATCTGAAGGGTAGGGCACAAAAGGATGGGGGCAAGCTCTTTTTAGAGGCGCCTGGTGGCAGGAACAAGGGACAACAGGGAACCAACTGGAACACAGTAATTTCATTTGAACACGAGGAAGAACTTGACTTTGAGGGTAACAGAATAGTGGAACGAGCTGCCCAGAGAGGTGGTGGGGATACCCCCACCTGGATGCTCTCCTTTGTAACGTACTCTAGAGAACCTTCTTTAGCAGGAGGTTCGACAGGAGAACCTCCAGAGCTCCCTCCCCTCCTATGCCACCTACCTAGAGAAGGAGGTGAGCGCCAGGCCACCCAGCAGCAGCTCCGCTGCGTAGAAGAGCAGGAGGATGGTGCTGAGGATGGCCTCCAGGCGCAGGGCGTAGGTCTGCAGCAGCAGGCAGTAGGTCGCCATGACAGCCGCCGGCACGGTGAGGGCCAAGCAGACGGCCAGAGGCACCTTGCGCTGGCACAGGTTGCCCTTGGAACCTGCAGGGCACAGGGTGAGCAGTGCGAGGCCCCGCAGCTTGACGAAGGGCTTGGGGGGAGGGAGAAAAGGGACGAGGCCTCACCGAAGAAGATGCGCGTGGTCTCAACGCCGAGGTAGAGCAGCAGCAGCAGCACGTCCAGCAGCAGGTTGGTGAGCGGGTACGGCAGCAGCAGCACTGCGGGCACGGCCACGCTCAGGACTGGGCGCGGGGGGCGGAGGAGCGGGAGGGCGGGAGCTCACCCTTGTAGGCGAAGATGAACGCCTCCAGCAGGAAGTAGGTCGCGCTGTACCACCCGTTGAGGAAGAGCAGGACCTGCAGCGGGGCCGAGGAGCGCTGGCGGCCTGCGGGGGTCGTGGGACGGGATGGGCGAGGTCCCGCTGTCCGCCGCCCGGCTCACGTTCCCCGCCGCCTCCCGCTCCCGGCCCCACACTCACTCCTCGCCGCCATCTTCCATCTCCATGGGAACCGCCGCTGCCGGCGGGAAGCCGCCCGGCCGCTCTCTCCTGCCCTCTCTATGGCCCTGGAGGATCGAACACCCGGTTCGAATCCTCAGTCCGCCCGCTTCGTTTCTCCCCCTTGCTGCTGTGCCTGCAGAACCCCAGGGGGCATTGCCCAGTGGGAATAACCCTGAATTTCGGAACACCGAGCAGGCCAAGGCTGCGTGACAAGCAAAGAGCAGGAGAGACCTAGGACACACAGATTGGAAAATGTAGACAATTTATTTCCTTACTACTCATAAAAACGCCCAAATCCCACCAGGGGCTGTGACACCGGGATGGATCCTCCCTCCATGCAGCCACGAGCACCCTGCCAGCTCCCAGTGCAGAAGGTCTGATCACCACGAGGACGAAGAGGAATACAGAGGGGCTGGGACCCTCCAGCCTCTTGGCTCCATCCCCCCAGGGTGAGGAGCTGCAGAGGGGGCAGCGAGCTGGAGTGGGGCCATCAACCACGGAAGTGAGCAAACTCCTTGCGCAGCCAGAGCGAGTCCTGGTAGAAGAGTGGGTCACCCAGGTGCACTGCAGTCCTCTTGTAGAAGTAGCAATAGAGCACAGCCGCTGCGGGAAGAAAGGAGGTGAGGGCACAGGGACTAAGCTGTGGGGTGTCCCTCAGGCAGGTGACAGAGTTGTTCCTGCTTTCTCAGCAAGCGTGAGCCCTTACCCAGCCGCTGGAAAACAAATAGTGTCTGCAGGCCTTCTGTCCAGATGAAGCGACTGGAATCCCTCCAGCGCAGGTTCTGACATAGACAGAAACAAGAAAGAACCCATGGGCTAATTTAGGGGTGCTGATGATCCCACTGGGATGGAGCTAGCCCCACAAGGGCTGTTGTGCTCTTGGTGCCAGCTCCAAAGGTTAAGCAGCTCAGGGGATTTGGCCAGCAAGTCAGGACCTATTCTTGCTTCAGACTTTAGATCCCTGCAAATCCCCACCAATCTGCTGTCCAGACAGTGTGGGTACAACATCCCTGGGTCGCTTCAGTCACAAACTGGCCCTGGGGTAGCAGGATGGACCCTCTCCCCAAGCCCTGTTGAAGAGCATACAGGAAGCACCTGTCAGCTGCTTTGCTTGACAAATGGTGACTGTGGCACAGGATGGGGGAGCTGAAATGGGGAAGAAGGGGCTGCTTGGACACAGCAGGGACCCTTAGGGCTTGTTTTCAGCAGGGAGGGGGCTGCCTCCAGCCTGAGTGCTGGTGTTTGCTGGGGATTCATCCCAGGTAAACAAAGCAGGAGTCCCCTGGCCTTCAGCAGAGACTACTCCGGTGTGGTGAGTTTCTGTGCAAGGCTTTCCCTGCAGATTTTCGAGCAGGCCACAGTGCTGAGGCTGGGGCTGAGATGAGGTAGCCCAATAGCTATAACAAGTGGGAGATTATGGCCTTCCTTTCACAGGGGAGGGACAGAAGAGAGAAGCGAGCTGTGAAGCTGGCAGCCCTGAGCCTACCATGATCCAGACGTGGAAGGAGATGCTGAGTGCCAGATAGGCTGCCGACAGGAGGATGGTCCCCTTGAACTTGTGGAAGAGAAGGTTGACCAGTCCAGCTTGGAAGACAAAGGTATTGAAGAACATGAGGAAGATGATGATGACATTGAAGAGAATGGCAATATCCTGGATGCTGCAGAAGAAGAGAGATGCATTAAGAGAGAGGAGAGAGTGATGTGGGAGAGCCCGGACCTCCTACCCTGGTGCTCACATGAAGAGGACAAGTTGGACAGCAGGAGCTGTGCGGAGCAGCTCCGAGAAGGAATTGACAAACAGGTCGTAGAAAAGCAGCAGAAACTGCAGGAACAGCACCAAGCTGTAGTTGCTGGTCTGGAGCATCTTCCTTTGGTGGAGGCTTGAGCCTTCAGCCCCAGCATCCCTAGCGCTGAGGGCAGCTCATGGCACAGGGCTAGGAGCTCGGCATCGCTGCTCCCTACAGCTGGCACCTGAAGGAAGCAGAGTTCAGCTTGTAGGGCTGGGCATAGCCAGCAAATCCAAAACAGAGTCAAAGCCGTGACAAATCCCAACAGCGTTTGGCACACTGCTGCCTCTGGCTCCCCCAGGCCATGCCATAGGAATGGGCTGGAGCACGCCATGACCCAGCATTGCTGTCCATTGCCCCACCCCAGCCGCATGCTCCCAGCTTGGGGCGGCTCACACAGGAGGAGACAGGTGTGGGGACGAGAAGGGAGCCAGAGCCTTCCTTCCCATCTCTCACAGGTAAGGCACTGCCCAGAACTGACGGGGGCCAGGAGAACGGGAACTGCCCGTATCGCTGCCACAAAGAGTCGCGAAGCTGAGAATCGCTCCCAAAACCCCACACCGCGCCCAGCCCGGCTCGCGGCCTCCCTCCCCATGGAGATCCACAGGGGCGCTCCCCCGGGCCTTTTCCCAGCCACGGAGCCCCGCAGTCTCGTCTCCATGCCGCTCTCGGTACCGCCGTCCCCGCTTCGTCCACCTCCGGCCCTGACCGCGGTCCAATGCTCACCCACGGCCACCATTCTCCATCTCCATGGGAACCGCAGACGGAAGCGGGGGCGGAAGCGCGAGGGGGCCGCTCTACCCACAGCTCTCGTTGGTCGCGTTGGCCTCCACCCAGGCAGCGACCACACCACCATAGAGGCGGGCCGCTAGAGCGGCGCCGTCCAACATGGCGGCGCTCGCTGAAGGGGAAGGGGAGGTGGGGCCCAACGGGTCCCGGGAGGGGTTGAGGTGCGGTTTCCCCCGACACAAAAATATCTATTTCTGGGGACAGATGCAAATCCCGAGGCAAATAAGCGCGGCCCCGTGCCTGTCCGTCACTTCTTGGGGCTGTGGGGCTGCACTTCTTTGGGACGCTGGGGGCAGCTTTATCAACGCAGGAAACAGCTTTGGAGGTGCTGGGCCCAGATTTGGGGGTGCTGGGGGCACGTTGGGGGTTTGGGGTGGGATTTGAAGGTGCTAGGCTCCGGTTTGAGGGTGCTGAGGGTGGATTTAGAGGTGCTGGGGACAGTTTTGGGCTGCTGGGGATCCGCAGAGAACGTTTCTTCCTGCCTGCCTGCCCCTACTGGATGGGGCCACCCTCCCCACCGCAGCTGCTTCCCCTTTCGGGTGGCTCCTCCCCAGTGTGCCTGCATTCAACTAAGCAGGTGCAGCAGGGAGCCTCCAGGAAGGCTGAAAGCTCCTGTTTCCCCCCAGGACCCTGCAACTTGCTGTGGTGATGCTGGATCTGCCTTTCTTGCCTTTCTGCGCCTTCTTGGGGAGCCTGGGTCTGGGCTGCGTGGCCTTTGTCAGTGCGTGGTGCCAGCACTGGCGAGGTGGCTTCGCCTGGGATGGCAGCGCCCGCATGTTCAACTGGCACCCTGTGCTGATGGTGACGGGCATGGTGGTGCTGTATGGAGCAGGTAAGCAGGGCGTGCGGGGTGGGGCTACGTCCCATTGTCCCTCCCTGACACTGTCACCCACCAGCGGCTCTGGTGTACCGCCTACCCCCCACCTGGCGAGGCCCCAAGCTGCCCTGGAAGATGCTGCACAGCACGCTGGCACTGACAGCCTTCATCCTTGCTGTGCTGGGACTGGTGGCTGTCTTCAACTTCCACAATGCGAGCGGAACGCCCAACATGTACTCGCTGCACAGCTGGCTGGGGCTGGGCACCATACTACTCTTCTCCTGCCAGGTGAGTGCTCGCCCTGACACCCCACATCCCTGCCCCTTGTGCCACCCCTCCTCATCTCTTGTCCCCACAGTGGGTGGCTGGCTTCAGTGCTTTCCTGCTGCCCTATGCACCCATCTGGCTCCGCACCCTCTACAAGCCCATCCACGTCTTCTTCGGCTCCACCATCATTATGCTCTCCATGGCCTCCTGTGTGTCAGGCATCAATGAGAAGCTCTTCTTCAGCCTGTGAGTGCTGGGGATTCGGGCTGCGTGTTGACTCTCTGTGATTACGCTGGCGTTGAGTGAAACTAAATGTGGGCTTAGTTAAGGGAAGTGTGTGATTTCCCCCCATGCCAGGTGCACAGTTCCTGGGTAATAAATTATGTGGGCTGAGAGGAAGACGGGGCAGTTCAGGAAGGCTTTCTGGGAGGGTTTAACTCCACAGATGTCACCTCCAGCCATGCTGCCACATACACTGGCCGCTTGTAGCTGGTGCAGCATTCATCTTGGGTCAGCGGATTGGGACAGCACCCTTGGGACAGGTGACCATGGGAGCAGTGTTATGGAGCCACCAGGGTAGGTGGGAGCTCAGCCCACAGTCCCAGGGCATCATGTGAGATGAGCACTGTGATTCTCCTCCAAAGGAAGAATGGGACAGCGTCGGTGCCGTACAAACTCCTTCCCCCTGAGGCCGTATTTGCAAACATTTTGGGGCTCCTAATCATCCTGTTTGGGATGCTGGTGCTGTATGCCCTGGCCAAGCCCAGCTGGAAGCGCCCAGAAGCCGACTCCCTTGACACTCACCAGGTACTTGCCTTGCTGTGGGGCTGCTCCCAGTACGGCTTTGAGGAGCTGAGCTGGGGGTCTGCCCCTGCCCCCCACAGCCCGAGCTGGCTTATCTTCAGGGTGGGGGTGGCAGGCAGCACGGGCTGAAGGTTCACGCATATCTCCTTGCAGCCTCTGCTTGGTGCTGAGCACTGACACCTCTGAGGTCTCTCCCATTGCTGCCAGCCCCAGGCTCTCTGATCCTGGCTCTGATCCCCCATGCCTGGACTGCGATCTGTGCCAAAGCCCTGCAGTGCCATCCTGAGAGAGTCAGGTCTAGAGCTGCTTGAGAAGCTCTCTGTGCCAAGGGACCTGGCCCACGACAGGCTGCCCTGGCTCCATCTCCTCTGCAGGAACAGCAGGAGCCTTTGCACCATGCCTTGCCTGTTGTGGGGATGCTTGTGCGGAGGTAGAACCAACCCAGCAGTCAAATGGACACCTAATAAACTGCTGGCTTCCTTCTCAGAGCTCCTGTGCATCCTTTGGGGCTGCTCTGCCAGTTCCTCAGCCCTTAGAGCCACCATGTGTTCCCCACCTCGTGCTGCAGACCTGGTTCCTGTTTTGTCTCTTGACTGGAGCCTCCTCCAGACCCCGTGCCTGCAGCCACATGAACCCCGTGGTTTCCCCACCCGGCACCCAGCCACGGGTCAGTGGCAAAGGCACGCGGATAGCCCAGCTGCTTCCTTCCTCCATGGTTCCATTTTGCATGGGGATTCATCCCTGAAAGGCCAGTTGCCTCCCACACCCCACATCCCACCATCCTGTCCCTCTCTGTATGAGAATAGATGCTCTAGTGGGACCGCAAAGGTTTATTAGGGGCATGCAGGGTGTGCCAACACCTCTCCCATCACCACCGTGGCCCTGGGGACCTGCAGAGGGATATAGCTCAGCCCTGCAATCCCTCCAGCACAGCTCGCAGCACAGCTGCAGCCGCCACAGCCCCGGGATCAGGCTGCAGCAGCTGGGCTGAGCTGATGTAACTGGCTCTGCCTGCACCAGCCTCCATGTGCCGAGTAGACTCTGCTGCTGCCTCTGCGCTCTGCTTGGAAACACAGGCATGCTCAGCACACGGCTGGGACACACAAGGCAGCCTCAGATGTCACCTGGGTGCCACCCATCCTAGGACTCCATCCCCATACCTCCACAGCAGAGGCCAGCACCGTAAGCAGGTCAGCTCCGGGGCTGCGTAGGGCACGCAGTGCCTGTGCTGCAGCACACAGTGCATCCAGCTGGGAGACACAGTGGAGGGATGAGCACTGGGACCCTCGCCAGAGGCTCTGTCCCTCAGCATCGCAGCACTCACCATTGTCCTGTCGCCTGGGGCCGCTCCTCCGTACCTGCACAAGGAGCAGAGGGCTTGACAAGGTCCCACTCAGGGAGTCCCAGGGGGTCCTGCTGCACTCACCGCTGCATGGCTTCAATGCCAGCATCCACAGCGTCGGCCCACACTGGCAGGTCGCTGCGGTTGTGCAGGGGGTGGGCTGCTGCTGTCAGGAACAGTCCATATAGCTGCCAGAACACATCAGTGCATGTGATGGGGGGGATGGTGGGGGTCCTGAGACATGCCCCCTCCCTTCACTGGGGCTCACCACACCAGAGGAGCCACCCATCTTGTCCAGCAGGAGGTCGGCCAGAGCGGAGAAGAGATGGGCTGGAGATGAAGGCAGGGGCTGGGCACGCATCCATTCCTGGATGGCTGTAGGGTGAAGAGAAAGGGCTGGGGTACTCCCCACAGGGACCCCCAACTACCCTGGGGGGCTCTGCCCCTCTTGGGAGACAGCTGGTCTTTCCCCATGCCTGGTGTGGGGATATCTGTGGGGACCCAGCAAGGAGCAAATGGGGGGAACTGTGTCCTTGGAGGGGGTGCCCCAGCAGATGGCACTTCCCAGGGCACCAGCACCCACCTCGGGCAGCTCGGGCGTGCGTGTGGCCGCAGTCCCCATCACCTGCTGCACGGTCCAGCTCATTGAGCTTGTCCTGCAGGCCCAGCAGGGTGCTGCACACTCGTGCCAGCACCTTCTGCGCTCGCTCCGTGCCGGGCCCTGAGGAGACATGACCCCCCCATCCTCAAAGGAGTTAGGGAAACTCAAGCACGAGGAGGTGACAGCATCCTCTCTCACTCTACTGCTGCCCATACCTGTACTGGGCACTTGCTTTGCTGTCTCCATTCCCTCCTTTGGTGCTTCCACCTCTGGTCTCTGGCTCATGGCAGGTCCTGTGACCACGTTAGGCCATGCCACGGCAGTGGTCTCAGCATCTGGAGCAGCAGGAGGGGAGAGTGAGTCTAATAGACTCACTTCACCACAGCTAGTAGCCAGGTACTGGTGCTGCATGTCCACAGGGGCCAGTGTCTTGGGCCACCTCACACATTCCCATGGTCCCATGCCACTCCCCCCATGTTTCAGGTGCTCACCAATCAGCTTCAGCAGCTCCTTGTCCACCAGCAGAAGGGTGAGGGAGATCCCGGCCATCTCCAGCGCTGTCATGAAGGAGCCCACCAGTGCCCGAGCAATACAGACGCCACGCTTCTCTGCAGGAATGAGAAGGATGTAAGTGAGGAGGTCCCTAGAAGGTCCCCATGAGGTCCCCAGTGACTCACCCAGACTGCTCACAGCCACACCAGCCACAATGCTCAGCTCCAGGCAGGACAGACCGCCCAGGTTGTTCACCACCAGCACCACAGAGGCTCCTGTGGAGCAGTGAGCAGAGTAAGAGCCCCACTTGTAGCATAAGAGGTGCATAGGGGCCAGGGGGACTCACCAGGGCTCAGGGGCAGGTGAGAGGCATTGGAGGGGTCGGTCATGTGCGCCAGCATTGTCTCCACCGCCTCATCTACAGGCATCACCTGGGGGACACAAGGGGAGCGTGAGGGCAGGGAGGAGACACAGAGGGAGGATGGGGTGAAAGAACGATGCTCACTTTCATTCTGCGCACGCCAGCCTCACCGTGGATCCCTGCAGAAGGGTAGCAGTGTCACCCCATGCTGATGCCTGGGGTTGGGGCAAGGGTCACGTGGACCCATGCCCCCCAGCAGCTTGGCACAGGGAGGGGGCAGCTCCTCACCCAGCCCCAGCTCCATCTCATCATTAGCCAGCTGGAAGGTAGGCTTGGAGCCAGGCACACTGCATGGTGACAGGCTGAGCCCCAGAGTGCCTGCAAAAAGGTGAAGGCAGAAAGGGATACATGCCAGATTTCAGGGCAGGCATTGAGCACGTGGTTGGTTGGATGGGGAGGCAGAAGGGTGACTGTGTCCCAGGCACGCTGCAGGTGCGTGGGGTGCTGAAGTTCACCCTGTGCTGGTGCCTCTTATCAGGCACTGTGGAAGAACAGGGATGGGGTTGGGGACAGGGATTGGGCCCCATGCACATACCCATGCCTTTGGTGAGTGCTGACACCCTTGTGACTATCTCATCCAAGCTTGCCCCCGCCTCAGCCATGGCTCCAGCCACCTGCAAACAGGCATCGATGGGTGAGGGACGCCTGCATGTCACCGCTGAGGGGCATTGCATCTTCACACACCTTGTGCACGAGGACAGTGCCACACAACCCGCGGCGCCCAGCTTTCTTCTGGCTGGCGAAGGCGCAGTCATCGCCCACCACCACCATCCGTACATCGGCGCCCTCTGCCCGTGCCCGCTCCAGTGCCAGCCCAAAGTTCAAGCGGTCCCCGGTATAGTTCTTCACGATCAGCAGCGTCCCCACTGTGAGCAAGAAGTCAAACCACAGGCCCACGGTGTCCCCATGCCCCACGGTGTCATCATACCTGCACCAGCTGCTGTCACCGCCCGGATGGCTGCCAGGATGCTGCCCACAGCAGGAGAGGTGAAGATGGCACCGGCCACCACGCCGCTCAGCATGCCTTTCCCAATGTAGCCTGCAACGGGCACAGGGGGGCTCGGGGACGCCCAAGGGGCATCAAGGCCACGGCTGGGCACTTACCTGCATGGGCACTCACCTGCATGAGCGGGCTCATGTCCGGAGCCCCCCCCGGAGAGCAGTGCCACACGTCCCCGCAGGGCAGCCAGGTCAGAACGTAGGGCCACTCGGTGTCCCCGCAGCAGCTGCAGCCCGGGGTTGCATGCCACCAGCCCTGCCAGTGCATCCTCAGCACAGCTGGCCACCGAGCACACCAGCTTCTTGGGGACCTGGAGGCACAGAGGGGTGGCTGGGTGGGGGGCTGGGAAGCTGGGTGTGCGGGCGGGGAGCAGGGTAGGAGGCTGGGAGGCTGGCTGGGGGCTGCGTGCTGCCCCAGGCTCACCTCCATGATTGGAGTGTGCACGGCACCAAGAGGACACGGGGTTCTGTCCACTGCCACCGCGCTGCAGCTCCCGCACAGCCTTCAGACCCAGGTTCAAACTCTATTTGGAAGTGAGGGAGGGCAAGGTCCAGGCTCCCTCGGTGGGGTGGGGTGGGTCCCGCCTGGGCTGGGTGCAGCCCACATTCGGGGGCACTGCTGGGATGGCGGGGCACAGCCCCACACGCGAGGGGCAGTGCTGAGATGGGGGGGGTACGGTCCCACACAACGCGGGGCGCTGCTGGGATGGAGGCCCACCGGGAAGCGCCCCTCCCTGAAGGTGAGGCCCCTCCCCGAGGTACCAGGGCCGCCCTTACACCTGCCCTCTCGTCCGCCCCTCCGCGGTCCTCCCCGGCGGGCAGAGCGGCGCGGGGCGCTAACTTCCGGTGACGTCACCGCGGCGGGCGGAAGGGGCGGTTGAGTGGCCGCGCTAGGCCGCAGCTCCCGGTGCGCGCGGCGTTTTGGTCGGTTACGGGACTCGCTGCCGTCTCCGCCATGTCGTACAATTACGTTGTGACGGCGCAGAAGCCGACGGCCGTGAATGGCTGTGTCACCGGTACCGGCGGGACGGGGCGGGGCTCAACGTTCACGGCGGGATCTGCGCGGCCTTGCGTTTTGGAGGGGCACTGGAGGCCTCCAGAGGCACACGGAGGAGTTGCCGGGGGAGGAGGGGTTGTAGGGAGATCGGGTCAGCGAGTGATTGGGGTGTTGTGGGGAGGTGAGATCAGTGAGGAACTGGGAGTGTTGTGGGTAGATGGTTGCGCTGAGATGGGAGGGACATTATGGAGGTCTGGAGGTGAAATGATGCTCCTGGATGGTGTTTGTGGGGAGCCCAGGGGTGCAGGGGGACCCCGGGGTTTGTGGGTGCAAGGAGGGTTCTGGGAATGTCCAATAGTTATCCAGTGGTTGGCATTGGAGTTGATGCTGTGAAGTGAGGAGTACCAGGGTATGTGTCCGGGGTTGCCTTGAGGTTCTAGGGGGGTGTGAAGGGCTAGATGGGATATTGGGCTGTTTTTTTGACAGGAGAGATAGTAGAGAGCTTGGAGAGGGGCAGGGTGTTTCCCTGGAAGCTGCTGGGCTTCAAAGGTGGGGGATAGAGCTGAGCAGAGCAGTGGGGTTTTGCTCTTCAAGGGTGCAGTGGGGAGAGGTCTTCTCCTTTGTTCAGGTTTCTGGAGCTTGTGAAGCTGGTCGCAGTGGGGCTGGCAGGACTTTGAGTGCTGGAAGCTGAGTTTGGGCTAGGGAGGGCATCAACAGGGCCCCAGAGTTTGAAGCTGACGATCCATCTCTTTCCTTACCCCAGGACACTTCACCTCCGCAGAGGACCTGAACCTGCTGATCGCCAAGAACACACGCCTGGAGATCTATGTGGTGACAGCTGAGGGGCTGCGGCCTGTCAAGGAGGTGGGCATGTATGGCAAGACTGCCGTCATGGAGCTCTTCCGCCCCAAAGTGAGTGTGCTGGGGATGGGGGGTGGCTCCTTGCAACCTCTCAGAACCCCTGTGACCCTCCCTCCTTCCTTCCCTTCCTGCAGGGGGAGAGCAAGGATCTGCTTTTCATCCTGACAGCCAAGTACAACGCCTGCATCCTGGAGTACAAGCAGAATGGTGACAATATTGACATTATAACCCGTGCCCATGGAAATGTGCAGGTGAGCCTTGCCTACCACACCTACTCAAGTTAAAATCTTTCTGAGAGGGTTAGGGATCCATTTGTGGGTGCCAATCCTGGGGATTGGTTTTTTGTTGCTCATCAGTCAAACGATTTAAACAGTTTCCATTAGCTGTCAAACCAAGCTATTTTCTATCTTTTTCCAGGCTTGCTGTTAGTGAAGCTGAGCAGGGGATTATGGTCAGGAGGTGTAAGTGGGCACATCCTGTCAGTGTGTTTGGAAATAAGCACTTAATCTTTGTGCTTTGTGGTTCTGCCTCGTGACATAGAGGGGTTGATATCAGCTACTTCCAGCTGGGGCCGTGGGTGATAAGAGCACTGGATTTCCATTGGGTGGGCTCTGCTCGAGTGTATCAAAGCATTTCACAGCTCGCTGCTTTTTCTCTTGCCCACCTCCGTGGATCTCCCCTTCAGGATCGCATCGGTCGTCCCTCAGAGACCGGTATCATCGGCATCATTGACCCAGAGTGCCGGATGATTGGCCTGCGGCTCTACGATGGCCTCTTCAAGGTCATCCCCCTGGACCGTGAGAACAAGGAGCTGAAGGCTTTTAACATCCGCCTGGAGGAGCTCCAAGTCATCGACGTGAAGTTCCTCTATGGCTGTCAGGCCCCAACCATCTGCTTCGTCTATCAGGTACCTTGTTCTCGATCCTGAAATCGGTGTTTCCAAGGGTCTTCCAAAGGGGTTGAAGCGTTGGCAGTGTCCTGAAGCTTGCTCAAAGCAGTGCTGTAAGAATGGGTGGGCAGAGCTAGAGATGCTTCTGGCTCCCACAGGCTTGTTTTGTAGCTGAAGGAAGTCTTCCTGGGCCAGCACAGGATGGTGGTGTGAATTCAGTTCATTTTCACTGCAGCTCTTAGTTCTCATAGAATCAAAAAATGGCCAGGGATGGAAGGCACCTCAAGGATCATGAATCTCCAACCCCCTGCCACATGCAGGGCCAGCCCCCACATACAATATTAGACCAGGCTGCCCAGGGCCCCATCCAGTCTGGCCTTGAACACCTCCAGGGACGGGACATCCACAGCCTTTCTGGGCAGCTGTTCCAGCACCTCACCACTCTCTCTGTGAAGAACTTCCCCCTGACATCCAACCTAAATCTTCCTTTCTTCAACTTAAAACCATTTCCCCTTGTCCTGCAGTTATCTACCCTTTCAAGGAGTTGAGTCCCCCTCCCGTTTATAGGCTTCTTTTGCCATGTGGCAGCAGCACTCTCCTTCCTCAGAATCATGGAATGCCTGGGTTAGAAGAGACTTACAAGCCCACTCAGCCCAACCACTGGTGTGGACGGGGTTGCCCAAGGTCCCATCCAGCCTGGCCTTGAGCACCTCCAGTGGTGGGGCATCAGCACAAGCCGCAGCTCTGCCTTGTCATCTGAACCAGCTTTCAGAACACGTGGCAGTGCTGTTTCTGTCTGAATGAGGAATGTGTGTGTGTGGAGTCTTTATCCCCCACACCCACATCGACTTTGAGGTTTGAAATAAAGCTCAGCCCATCCTCGCTCCAGATCTATGCAGCGAGGGTGGCTGATGACGCTTTCTGGCTTTGAATTGCTTAATGGGTGAGCTCCTCAGAGCCAAGAAACCTGATGGTGGTGTGCAGCTCTGAGAAGATCTGCATATCTGCATGGATTTGATTGGTGTTGCTGCTGTCTGGGGAAACTGAGGCAGAGCACAACTGTGATTTGGCCAAAATCTTAAACTCAGTGTTAGAGTTTAGGCAGAAGCACGAGTTTCCACTTAGTCCCCAGAGGTATCATAAAGGAAGAACTTGATCTCCACACTTAGTCAGCAAGTGAAAAAGGTCTTGTCCCACAGGATCTGACATTTCCATGCTACAGCCTGGTCTGGAAGGAAATATGTTAGTGATTTGTTCATTTTAAGCAGGTACTGTACAAATAAAGAGAAAATGAGTGCCTGTGTGTCTGTCAACTGCGTTTCATCCTTGCAGCAGGGTGAGATGTGAGTTCTGTCTGACTCATGAGGCGTTACGTAAAGCACTGGGGTTAGGCTGTCCCTGGGAGCCTGACTGTATGTGGAGGCGGAATGTATCCAAGCTGCTGCTTTGTCTGATTCCTTCTCAGTTTGTTAATCATTATCACGGGATTTGGATCAAGGAGAATAGCAGCGAGTGTCTGAGATAATCTTTGTGTAGGTTTGAAACCAGAGGAGGATACCACAGAGATGAGCAAGCTTATTAAAAAAAAAACCACAACGCAAAAGGCTTAAGAACTGCTGTTGTAAGGAATAAAAAGGTCCAGAAATGCCAAAGTGGTGTTAACAATTCCTTTGCCATTTAATGGTCCCACTTCAGCTGTAAAATGGACAGGATGTGCTCCAGCTGTGCTAGTTCCTCCTCTCCTGCACATCTGTTTCTCCTGCTGGCTTCCCCTTCTCAGTCAGCTGGCGCTGCCCTTCTTGCAGCACTGGACTGAGGAGTTCTCTGCAGGCTGTTCCTCAGCTGGACCTCAGCAGCCTCTGCTGCAGCGACATGAGGTTGTTATGTGTTGATGTGATGTTTGTGCCTCCTCTTTCAGGACCCTCAGGGTCGCCATGTCAAAACGTACGAGGTGTCCCTGCGTGAGAAGGAGTTTAACAAAGGTCCTTGGAAGCAGGAGAACGTCGAGGCCGAAGCCTCCATGGTCATTGCAGGTTAGTCCTCCTGCACGTGGTGTCTTTCCTTCCTTTTCACTCTTAGTTATGCTGCACAGGTTCACTGATAAGACTTCTCCCCTGCGCAGTGCCAGAGCCTTTTGGAGGCGCAATCATCATTGGGCAGGAGTCCATTACCTATCACAATGGAGATAAATACCTGGCTATAGCTCCACCCATCATCAAGGTAACCCCTTAACTGTGCATTTCCTAACTTACTCCTGCTACAGACACTACTGAAATTCCCAGCTGAACGTCTTCTCTGAATCTGGCAGATTTTCAGTTGCCCGCTGGTTGAATTATTATTGCTAAAAATCCTTGCTGTGTGTAATAAATGGTGCAAGTAAGAAAGCTTTCTCATTTGAAGGCTTTTGGTGACTTTGGACCTAGTGATAGTAGGTGCTTGTCGGTCTGTTTATCTCTCCAGAACAGCTTGTGGCTTTCCAGGAGTCTGTAAGCTGGAACCTTTTACTGTGTTTGTGATGGTGGGTCTCTGTATGGCAGTGACCATTGTTGTGCTGTGCTCAGAAATCCTAACCTGGGAGGGTGCTGAGCCGCTCTGGTTCAGGAATTTCATCTGTTCTTAACTTTAGCTGTAGCCTAGTAGAGGCCCTTGCAGAGATTTGGTGAGTGTCAGTGTTCTGCCCCGTGCCCAGTCTGCATTCTGGGGTCTGAGGGATATTTGTGATCCCTGTAGTGATGGCAGTGTGTGCCTGCACTGGAGTACATGGCTCTGTGGAGTTCCTGGAAATGGTGCAAGAAAGCTGAAATCTTGTTAGGGCCCCAGAGAAAAAGATTAATTAGGAGGTGGTTTGGACATTGGTCCAGGCCAGAGCCTGGTTTCAGTTCAGGCAGTGAGAGATATGAACGAGCCCCTTGGAGACTCAAGTCCATGTGAGTATGGTTGGGGCACTTGTTCAAGGGAAAAAAGACTGACAGAGTTGGTGACAGAGCTTGAACCTGTGGTTTTGTCGGAGGGCTGGGCCAGTTCCCACATTCAAGTGGTGCAGGAAGCACAGATGGCACAGCTGAGGTGCTGCTCAGGGCTGAAAGAGGGCCTTAGCCATGACCAAAAGGTTCTTTCTAGGCACATCCGTGCAGAGGAGCGCCCTGTGCAGGATTTAGCTGTGGCTTCGTGCCTCTCTGGAGTTGTTTCAGCAGCTTCCTAACATTTCCTTTGCATGCAGCAAAGCACAATTGTGTGCCACAACCGTGTGGATCCCAACGGGTCCCGTTACTTGCTGGGGGACATGGAAGGACGTCTCTTCATGCTGCTTCTGGAGAAGGAGGAGCAAATGGATGGCACAGTCACCCTGAAGGACTTGCGTGTGGAACTGCTTGGTGAGGTAGGACACCTCTGCACCACCTACAGCGTCCCTGCCACTTGTCACTGGGGCCAGGGGGCTCTGCAGGATGCAGGTGCTCTGCAGGTGCCAAATAGTGGAAGTAGCTTCTCTGTGGAGCACAGACTGGGTGATGTTTTCCTCTCCACAGCTGTCAGCTCTGAACTTTCAGCTGCCAGATGTGGGCAGTTCCCTGTCTGGCCACCTGATTTTTCATCTTGCACGCTATCCCTCAGAGATGTTTGGATTCTCTGTGGGTTCTCTAAAGGGATCAAATTTCCCTCCCCGTGCTTTTATGTTACACTGCGTTCAGATGTGATCCTTGGGGAGCGTGGCAGTGCCCTTTTCATCTTCTCATGATGGTTCACCTGCACCTTCTCAATTCCCAGACATCCATTGCAGAGTGCTTGACCTACCTGGACAACGGCGTGGTGTTTGTTGGCTCTCGGCTTGGGGATTCCCAGCTTGTGAAGGTGAGTGGTGGCGTTCCCCTGGCTTAGTCCTGCATTCAAACAGGATTTTATACGTGCTTGCTTTCATCCTGGCCTCAAGAGCGATCAAACATTGAAATGCACAGCCCAAGGATGTTGTGAGTCACCACACTGGAGCTGTTAAAGAAGCGTGGCACTGTGGGATGTGTTTCGTGGGTATGGTGGGAATGGGTTGGAGTTGGACTTGATGATCTTAGAGGTCTTTTCCAGCCTTTATGATTCTATCAGATATGCAAATACGTGGGGAGAAGTTTTCTTTTCCCTACATTCTTTATGCTCGCTGGGCCCTTCTTGTTGGAAACTGATGGTTGTGTTTGTTCATAGCTCAACGTGGACAGCAATGAGCAAGGCTCCTATGTAGTGGCTATGGAGACCTTCACCAACCTCGGTCCTATCGTTGATATGTGTGTGGTAGACCTGGAGAGACAAGGCCAAGGGCAGGTAATGTTGGCTCCAGCTCGCCTTTCTCTGTGCTAGAGATGTCTGGTTCTGGCAGATGTGCGTGGTGTGTTCACCGAAGGAAGGGACTGTGATTCATTTATCAGGGATTTAAGGCTCGTCCTGGCGCAGGGAAGGTTTTGAGGTCTTGCTCTGGGTGGGAAGGCTCCTGTTTTCACAAGGAAGGGTTTTCTTTCCTGCGCTGGGGAAGGGTCAACAGCCAAAGAGCTTCCTTTGAGAAGCATGGATGATAAGGATCCCAACTTCCCCTGAGCCTGTCACTGCAAGGAAGTGTGGGGAGGCTTCCCCAGTTGGTAAATGCCTGCTTTTCCTCCAGCTGGTCACATGCTCAGGTGCCTTTAAAGAGGGTTCACTACGGATCATCCGGAACGGCATTGGGATTCATGAGCATGCCAGCATTGACCTGCCAGGAATTAAAGGTGTGTGAGTTGGTTCATTCTTTCATATACAACCCACCAAGTGAGGACATACCTCATGGCTGGGCTGCGGGCATTTTGGATCCCTTTTGGATTATTCATGTGAGCATGTGGTCTTTCTGTTGCAGGCTTGTGGCCCCTGAGGTCAGATTCTCATCGTGAGATGGACAATATGCTGGTGCTGTCCTTTGTTGGCCAGACCAGGTGAGGTGGGGTTAAGGCCATGCCAGGCTCTTAGCCTGATACAACAGGATTGGAGCATGATACAAGAGATTTTCCCTTCTAGGGTTCTTATGTTAAATGGAGAAGAGGTAGAAGAAACGGAGCTCACAGGATTTGTGGATGATCAGCAGACCTTCTTCTGTGGCAACGTGGCACATCAGCAGTTGATCCAGGTAACGCCCCTTCTAGAGATGCTTTTCCTGTTGTGATTCCATAGTCCTTCTTGGCTGTGGGTTATTTAGCTCTCTGCTGCTCATCAGGGTAAGGTCTGCAGTGCTCCCCTGGGCTGATGGCAGACAGGAGGTGTTGTTCAGGCTCTGAGCAGAGGTATTTTCTCTCCTCAGATCACCTCTGCCTCTGTGAGACTGGTCAGTCAGGAGCCCAAAGCCCTCGTGAGCGAGTGGAAAGAGCCCAACGGGAAGAACATCAGCGTGGCTTCCTGTAACAGCAACCAGGTGGTGGTGGCTGTGGGACGAGCCCTCTACTACCTGGAGATCCAACCCCAGGAGCTCAGGCAGATCAAGTAGGTGCCCGTCTCTCTTCCTGACCCAAGGGTTCACAGCCTTGTCGCCTTCAGGCTTCCTGATTGGCACTTCAATCTGATTTTTGCTTCCTGCCAGCTGCACTGAAATGGAGCATGAAGTTGCCTGCCTGGACATCACTCCTTTGGGGGACACTAATGGCATGTCCCCTCTGTGTGCCATCGGACTCTGGACTGATATCTCTGCCCGCATCCTAAAGCTTCCTTCCTTTGAACTGCTGCACAAAGAGATGCTAGGAGGAGGTAGGGCTCTCCTGGGACTGCTGGCAGCAGAGACTGACCTGGTGGAGCCACACGTGGCATCAGCCTTCTCTTCTGCTCCCTGCAGAAATTATCCCTCGCTCCATCCTGATGACAACCTTTGAGAGCAGCCATTACCTTCTGTGTGCACTGGGGGACGGTGCTCTCTTCTACTTTGGGCTCAGCCTCGAGACAGGTGACTACAGGGCCTAGCAGCTAGTGGGCTGCTTGGGAGGGAGTTTGGATTTGTGCTCACATACTTGTGGTACTTCTTTTCTTTTTTTTTTTTCCCCCATTCTTCTGGAGGAGATCTGTCTCTTTCCTACATTTTTTCAGTAGTTCCTTCTTCCTCGCTATGACAGGGTGGGGATTGGCTGTGGGCACTGTAAGTGGATTTCTCCAGGGGACTGTGAAGAAAGGAACCTGATGCTTGCATCCACTTCTTTGCTGACAGCAGGATGCATTCCTTCACGCTCATTTCCTGCCAGCATGTCACGGCCACGTAGCTCTGTGCTGCCCTGCTCCCAACCTGCTGTTCCTTTCCTGCAGGCTTGCTGAGTGACCGTAAGAAGGTGACCCTTGGCACTCAGCCCACAGTCCTGAGGACTTTCCGCTCCCTGTCCACCACCAATGTGTTCGCCTGCTCTGACCGCCCCACCGTCATCTACAGCAGCAACCACAAGCTGGTCTTCTCCAACGTCAACCTGAAGGAGGTGAACTACATGTGTCCCCTCAACTCCGATGGGTATCCTGACAGGTGAGCCCGCCCCACGGCACGGCTTGAGGCAACTTGGGACTCTGTGTTGGCACAGACTGCATGAGAATGTCCTGCTCAGGCCTGGTGGTACATCCACCTTGCCCAGAGGATGTGCCTGCCTGGCACTGACTGATCAAGGGAGGGCCTTCTTCATAGATACTCTTGCAGTGTATGACAGTCCTGGCCTGGGTACTCTCAGGGCACTCCTTAGTCCTTTGAACCGTTGGTGGATTCTCACGTGAGATGATTGAGGTCTTAAGCATTTATGTCTCTCTCTGCATCAGTAGCTGTAGAAACTGCCCTAATCTGACTGACGTGCAGTGCGGGAAGGGAACCTTGATCAGCAGTTTGGGGTTGAGGGGAAGAAGGGAGATTCTTGGCTTCACCACTGGCCTTGCAAGCCCTGCTGCTCACAGTTTTCCTCCTTTACAGCTTAGCATTGGCTAATAACAGCACGCTGACAATTGGCACCATTGATGAGATCCAGAAGCTGCATATCCGCACGGTTCCCCTCTATGAATCACCCAGGTGAGCTGAGAGTTTAGTTTTGGGGCCTGTGCTCTGCCATGGGGAGAGCCTACCATGTTGTGGGCTTGGTTAGCAAGCAGGCCGAATCGATGGCTTCTTGCTGAGAGTGGTCAGTGCAAGAGAGCAGTTCTGTTCCTGTTGCCACACCGTGGAGCAGCCCATCCCGGTATCTCTGCTCATACAGCTCTTTGTCCTGCAGGAAGATCTGCTACCAAGAGGTATCACAGTGTTTTGGTGTGCTCTCAAGTCGTATCGAGGTGCAAGACGCCAGCGGGGGCACCACTGCACTCAGACCCAGTGCCAGCACCCAGGTGAGGGGGCAGCTGCCAGCTGATGCCTGAGCTGTGTTTACTGTAGCTTCTTAGCCAAACCACAGGTTTGTGCAGGTTTTCCTGTTGCTCAGGCCTAGGGAGCTCCTCCCCACTCATCCCCCTGGTCCCCAGTTTTCTCAGCCTGCATGTACATGCCAAGTAGCACAAGGATGTGACACATCTTTCTGTGTCCCAGGCCCTGTCTAGCAGCGTGAGTACCAGCAAGCTGTTCTCCAGCAGCACAGCGCCACACGAGACGTCCTTTGGAGAGGAGGTGGAGGTGCACAACCTGCTCATCATTGATCAGCACACTTTCGAAGGTACCAGCCCCGTGTGCTTTCCAAATTCTGCTTGGATGTCCATCAGCATGTGGCTAAGAGCCGCACAGTCCTGTGATCTCACACGTTCCCTTCGTTGAAGTGTTTTTCCTCCATCATCGGCCATCCAGCATCAGCCAAAGGGTGTAGGTTTGAGGTGTAATGATTGGTGGCACAGGGCAGTGAGGGGATCACCAGACTCTGCACTTTGTTCAGTTTTAGAGCTTTTAGCTGCTCTTCCCGTGCGTGGAGGTGCTGCCTGCTGGCCCCCAAGGGACCCAGCTGTTTCTGCTTTTCCCTCTTTGCAACAGTGCTTCATGCTCACCAGTTCCTACAAAACGAATACGCCCTTAGCCTGGTCTCCTGCAAGCTTGGCAAAGACCCAAACACCTACTTCATCGTGGGTACTGCCATGGTGTATCCTGAGGAGGCAGAGCCAAAGCAGGGCCGCATCGTCGTCTTCCACTACTCTGACGGTAAGAGCAAAGGCTTCTTGTCTGGCCAAGTCCAGCTGCTTGAGGGCAATCAGAGAGATCTAAGCAGGTTCTGCAGGGCTTTGTCACTCCACTGTGGGCTGTCACAGCACGTCCTCTCCTCCCCAGCTGCCAGAGAAGCCCAGGACTCCCTCACCAGTCACATTCTGGGATTTGCTTTCCGTTGTCCTCCCATTCCTGCACTGCTTGCCCACAGATCCTCTGAGGCAGTGAGCAGCGTTGCTTATAGCAGCTTGTGCGAACCCTCCGTGGTTTGTCGGCCCTGGGTGCAAATAACTGGGTGTGCTGTGGATTGATTGCAGGCAAGCTGCAGAGCCTGGCTGAGAAGGAAGTGAAGGGAGCTGTGTATTCCATGGTGGAGTTCAACGGGAAGCTGTTAGCCAGCATCAACAGCACGGTAGGGCCCTCGTGAGACTGCAGCTTCCTTCCCGAGCATGTGTCAGAGCTGGGAGCTGTTCCAGCTGTGTGGCTGTCAGCTGGGTCTGTTGGCAGTGTGTCTTGGCTGGCATAGGTGTGAGTCCCAGCTCAGAGTCTCGTCCCTTCCTTCCTCCAGGTGCGCCTGTATGAGTGGACAGCTGAGAAGGAGCTGCGCACGGAGTGCAACCATTACAACAACATCATGGCTCTCTACCTGAAGACCAAGGGAGACTTCATCCTTGTGGGAGATTTGATGCGGTCGGTCCTGCTCCTTGCCTACAAGCCCATGGAAGGAAACTTTGAAGAGGTATCAGTGCTGTTGGGTATTAGATTTGCAGTTGTTTAGGTCAGAAAAGACCTTCTTATCAAGTCCAACTGTCAACTTGTCTGCTGAGTCCCATCGCTCAGCCGTGTCCCTTAGTGTCATTTAGAATCAGAGTCATTTAGGATGAAAAAGACCTTCAAGAAACAAAAGAACTCCACTTCTCCCATCACTTCACATGCATAGAAAGATGCTGTGATTTATCAGATAGTTCCAGAGGTACTGTGCGTTTTCTGACAGCCATCAACACAAGGGGGCTTGACTGAACTGCAGGTGTGTTAGTTTCTGTAATGGTATCAAGCTGTTAAATGTTAGAATGAGACAACTTAGTGTTACAAGTGTTGGGGCTTCAATAGATGTATCCTTCATGGAGTTCAGTTGGTCAGAGGTCCTGGGGGTCCACGCTAATTGTTCCATTAGGCTTCAGGCAAGTGGAGCAGTGCTGAAGATGGAAAATGGAGGAACCTGGCTCAGCCCACCTCACCAGCCCTTTGAAGACAAGGGTGTAGGGTTGTGCTCAGACGACAGGACTACCTGGTGACATTCTTCTAGACAGACTCCTGTCTTTTTGGAGGAACAGATCCCAGGCTTTCAGGAGGCTGGGCTGTGTGTCAGCTGCTGGGGAGCTGCAGGCCTGCAGTGCGTGCCAGGAGGGAGGAGCTGCCCGACGCTGTGCACTTGGGGAGGCTTATTGAGACTGGCTGCATCAGTCAGCAAATGCAGCGTAGCTGAGAGTCAGACCGGGCGCTGGGGCCATCTGTGCACCTGTGCGATTGGCTGCAGCACGGTCTGCCCTCATTTGCCCTGGCATCATCCAAGCGCAGCTCAGGCCAGCGCCATCTTCCCAGAGGCAGTTTGTGCTATTGGCTCAGCAGAGAAGTCAGACTCTTTTGTGAGTCATGCCTCACTCACAAATGGGGCTGCTGAGTGGGATGAAGATGCGCTTCGCTGCCCCTCCTCGTGTCCCTTTGCAGATTGCCCGGGACTTCAATCCAAACTGGATGAGTGCCGTAGAGATCCTGGACGACGACAACTTCTTGGGAGCAGAGAACGCTTTCAACCTGTTTGTGTGCCAGAAGGACAGGTGGGCTGGCAGGAAGGGAGCCGTAGCAGTACATGGCAGGAGGGATGGGGCGTGTGTTGGGCAGGAAAATGGACAGAAGGATGCCCAGCTCTGAGATGGGATTTGGGGGAGCTCTCCTGCGCCCCCCGCACAGACTGAGCGGGGTGCTTTGGCTTGCAGTGCTGCCACGACTGACGAGGAGCGCCAGCACTTGCAGGAGGTGGGGCTGTCCCACTTGGGAGAGTTTGTCAATGTCTTCTGTCACGGCTCCCTGGTCATGCAGAACCTGGGCGAGACGTCCACACCAACACAGGGCTCCGTTCTCTTCGGCACAGTCAACGGCATGATAGGTGAGGGGCAGGGAGCACCCTGGCCTGAGATTCCTTGTGTTTCTTCTTCTCCCCACCCTTGTCCCAGCCCTGTCAGGGAGCAGCCTCCAACTGCAGTCCTGCCCTTCTCTGCCTGCTGGCAGCTGCAGCAGTGTGGTCCTAGGACCTGCAAGATGCTGACCTCGCACCGCCCTGTTTTCCTTTATAGGGCTGGTAACCTCGCTGTCAGAGAGCTGGTACAACCTCCTGCTGGACATGCAGAACAGGCTGAACAAAGTCATCAAGAGCGTGGGCAAGATCGAGCACTCCTTATATCCTTCTGTGGTCCAACGGGGAGCCCATGCCAGCGGGTGCTGGGGGCTGGCTTGTGAATTAAAGCACATCTTGCAGGGCTTGAGGACAAACTGGGCTTTGCAGTAGTGCAAATGTTGGTTTGTCTCTGATCCCAGGAGATGGCTGTGCTTGAGGAACTGCATGCAATGTCGAGTTCCCAAGATCTTCCTTGCCACACTTTTAGGGCTGTTTTCCAGACCAGTTCTGTGAGGCAGCATGGTCAGTCTGCCTCGAGCTGCCCAGCAGAGAGGTTTTTTGTCTGGACAGGGTGGGATTGATGTCACTCCATGTGGATTTGGCTCCTTGACAGTGCCACCTGGAGATCATTTCACACTGAGCGCAAGACAGAGCCAGCTACTGGCTTCATTGATGGTGACCTGATCGAAAGCTTCCTGGACATCAGCAGGCCCAAGATGCAGGAGGTGGTGGCAAACCTGCAGGTGAGGGGCGACCCCACAGATGGGGACACTGCTCAGAAACGGAGGCTGTGCTAAACCCTAAACACACGTCCTGCTGTTTCTCCATCACCTACAGGTGTTGTCATGCTTTTCTCTCTCTGCAGATTGACGACGGCAGTGGGATGAAGAGGGAGGCCACTGTGGACGACCTGATCAAGATTGTGGAGGAGCTGACCCGCATCCACTAGCAGGATTTGGGGCTTTTTCCTGACACCTTCCTCCACGTAGAGCAAGGGGCTTCCTTCCCCTGCCTGGCTGCACTCAGCGCCGGCAGCAGCCCTTGCCTGAGGGGAGGTGCCTGAAGGAGAGCTGTTTGTTAGGGATCTGGGGGGCACCTCGCTGTTGCCAGCTTGGATTCACCAATCCTACGGACTCGACCAGTGCTGGGCGCTGCTGGTTGCTCTCGCTGGGTGACGCACAGCACTGCCCTTGCCTGGGTTCATGCTTTGCTATTGTTTTGTTTGTTTGTTTTTCTGCTTTCATTTTTGATTCTTTTTCGATCCATGGTGGGTTTTGTTGGGGTTTTTTTGTTTGTTTGTTTTTGGAAGAGGAAGCAAAGCTGCCTCAAGCGTGAGGGCTGGAGGAGGCATCTGGGGCAGGTGAGATCTGTGGGCCCAGAGCATTTCTCTGCGAAGGAAGCGGAGGGGGACAGCAGGACAGCACGCTCCTCTCCCTCCACAGCACCTCTGGCTCGCTCAGGGAGGGAATTTCTGGGAAGTTCAATTCGTTTGTGGAGTTTTACCAAATAAAGTAGTCCAAACGGAATGGTGTGCCCGCTGGTGCTGCCACGCTCCACTAAGCATCACAGTTGCATGGGATTCACAGAATCACACAGAATGGCCCAGGTTGGAAGGGACCTCAAGGATCATGGAGCTCCACCCCCCCTGCCACAGGCAAGGCCAAAAACTTCCCCATTTAATGCTAGACTAGTCTGCCCAGGGCCCCATCCAACTTGGCCTTGAACACCTCCAGGGACAGAGGAGCATCCACAGAGTCTCTGGGCAGCCTGTTCAGTACCTCACCACTCTCATAGTAAAGAACTTAAGGATTCCTTCAACTTAAGGATTCCTGCATTCCCTGGTGCAGCAGGGGCAGGGAGTACAGAGCTAGGAGCTGGAAGGGCACAATCAAGTCGGGCTCCATGCGGAATGGGGTCCTGCCCCTCCATTCTCTGCATGTGAAATAGATTAATCATTATCCTGGCCTCCATTTGGCTCTGAGCTGCTCTGGCTTGCTGCTGTCCTGATTGCTGAGCAGTTGCCAAAATGCACGTGAGGGAGCTGAGGAGTCCCCAGCTGCCCTCTTCCCCATTGGAACCCATGGGGTTAACAGAGCCCCCACAGATATTATCCCACACTTAGAAGGCTCTGTGCCACCAGAGGACGGGAGAACGGCACAGGACCCCAGGCTGGATCCTTTCTTCTTGCTATACAACTCAGGTTTTGCTCCAAAGCTGCGCATGTGCATGCACACCATGGTCCCATGCTAGCACCAGTTTTTTTCCCTATGTTCCTCCTTTCCTGCAGCAGCTAAGAGGTGGGCAGCATTCTAAAGTCATGTGCGTGTTTCCAGCAGCCCTGAGCTGCTGGGCAAGCCTTAGGTGTGGGAAGAATCCGATCCACCTGGAGCAGGCTGTTGTTTGGGATGGGAGAAGTTAACTGACCCTCAACAGGCACCTTTCCTTTGCTGGAGGGCTCAGGATCTGTGCTTGGCCCTTCTCCCTCCCTAAAAGCAAACCCGGGGTGGCAGGTGCCACGCTCTCAACTTCCCTCCAGCCAGCATTTGATGATGCCCTGGGGTCACGCTGCAGGGGAAGCCTGGGGCTGCAGGCAGAGGGTCACCCCAGTGCTGTGCTGCAGGGAACGCTCTTTGCTCTGCACCGTCAATCATTTACCTGCCCTTCACCTTTGCTTCAGCCCCCGGCCGGGCGCAGGGAGGTTCGGGCTGGAGGGGTTTCAGCCCCCACGGAGGCCCTCGCCGCGCCCTTCCCCACTGCACTTTGGCTCCTCTATCTGCTGCGTGCTCCTCTTTGGTGGGTCCCCGTGCAGGGCTGGGAAGGCAGCCCAGTGCCGCCAGGAGGAGGAGGAGGAGGAGGAGGAGGGGTGGGGAGAGGCCAGCCCGGAGCTCTGCCAGATGTGGGAAAGGAGAAAGCAGGGGGGACGCTGAGCTCCTTTCTCCCCCCTCCAAAGAGTGGGGACCCCCTCCCTCGGGGAGGAGGAGGAGAAGGTCGGTGGCGCTGAGGCCGAAGTGCGGCGAGGGCGCGAGGCTCGGCTCGAGCATCCCCACGCTCGTTCTCCCGCGCTGGGGCAGAGGAGGATCGGGGCCCCCCGGCGCGCCCCGCTCTGCCTCCCTCCACCCCCCGCATTGTTCCCGGCCCGGCGGGCGGGAGGAGGAGCAGGGCCAAGGGCCAGCATGCGGTAGGCGCCCCGTGCTGCAAGGCAGGCAGGAAGGCAGCGCTGGGAGCGTGCCGCCGGAACCGCTGGCATGTTGGTCGTGCTGCTCGTCCGGGCTGCCTGTGTGTCCCTGCTCCTCCCGGGCGGGCAGGGCAGGGTGTACTCCGGGAGGAAGAAGCCGGCCAGCTTTGCCGTGGAGAGGTAGCCTGCCCCCCTTTTCCTTATCCCTACCCCAGCTGCACCTGGCGATGGCGGCGTGCAGCGTCCTGCCCACGTGCGCCCCATCCACTACCGCGGATAGTAACCCTCGCGGGCTGCCTCTCCCCACGTCTCCGTCCTGCCCAGAGATGCCTCTCCACCACCCCTCCGTCCCACCGCATCCCGCAGTCATCCCGTTGTACCCCGAGACCCTTTCCTCAGATCCGTGCTGCTGCATCGTCGGCACTGCAGCTCCCTCACGTCCCCATCCCCGGTCCCCCATCGCCTCCTCACGTCCGTGGGGCTCGGCAAAGGGTGACCTCCTCCTTCGCCGCCCGCTCCCAGGCGCCACGTGGGGCCCCACATCTGCTTCTCGGCTTTCGGCAGCGGATGTTGCCCCGGCTGGATGCTGGCTCCGGGCAGCGGGCAGTGCATCCTGCGTGAGTACGGGCGCCGGGGATGGCACCGGGTGGGAGTCCCCGCGCCCTCACGTTCCCGCGCCCCGCAGCGCTCTGCTCCTTTGGCTGCGGCAGCGGCTTCTGCATTGCACCCAACCTCTGCTCGTGCCCCGATGGAGAGCGGGGCGTCACCTGCCCAGGTAGGGCCCCATCCCCTCCACGTGCCACAGAGCCGAGGGCGCACAGTTGGCTTCCAGGGCGCCCCCGGTGTCCCGCAGAGCCACTCTTTGCCTTCCAGAGCCGCTGGGGAGCTGCGGGGAGTACGGCTGCGACCTCTCCTGTAACCACGGTGGGTGCCAGGAGGTGGCCCGCGTCTGTCCCCTCGGCTTCTCCATGGTGGAGACGGACGCCGGCGTGCGCTGCAATGGTGAGCTGGGGGGAGCGAGGTGTGGCCGGAGGGGGGTTCCCAGCGTTCTCCAGCTCCCAGCTCCGTCCCTTCTCACCGGCAGACATCAACGAGTGCCTGAGCGCTGCCTGCGAGGGGCTGTGCGTCAACACCGAGGGTGGCTTCGTCTGCGAGTGCGGCCCCGGCATGCAGCTCGCCGCCAACCGCCACAGCTGCCAGGGTCCGTGGGGTCAGGGGCTGGGGAGGGCCGCTCAGCTGGGGCGCTGAGCCTCAGCCTCTGCCTGACAGATACTGACGAGTGCCTGGCCACGCCGTGCCAGCACCGCTGCAAGAACAGCATGGGCAGCTACCGCTGCTCCTGCCGTCCTGGCTACCACCTCCATGGGAACCAGCACACCTGCGTGGGTGAGTGCTGCACGCGGGCTTGGCCGCCCGCTGCCACGGGCTGCACCACAACAGCTCCCCATGCGCCGTCACCCCTCCCCTACGTGCCGGCACCACGACTCCCCCCCACGTGGTGGAAACCCAACCCTGCTATGTGCCCGTGCTGTGCTCAGTGCCACGGGTGACACCGCTGGGGACACCAATGTGTTCCACATCCCCCAGATGTCAACGAGTGCCGGCAGCCGGGTGAGCGCCGTGCCTGCCAGCATGCCTGCCACAACACACTGGGCAGCTTCCTCTGCTCCTGCCGGCCTGGCTACCGGCTCAGCAGGGACAGGGTGTCCTGCGAAGGTAACCGCCTACTCCTCCACGTGGGAACCCCCAAAATCCCCATGCTGACACCTTTCCCCTTCCCTCCCAGGCTTCCCCAAGGCCATCCTGGCACCCTCGCCCATCCTGCAGTCCTTGCAGCACCCCCCCACGCATATCCTACCCCCTCCCGGAGCTGGGGGACCCCGCCTGCTCCCCTCTCCTCACCTCCCTGCCGCGGCACCAGGCACATCCATTCCTCCCTCCCTTCACGATGCCATCGATCCGCCCCCTGGGACTCCCACATCAGCTCCTCTCTGCTGGCATCGTGGGGCTCCCCAGGAGCCAGGCGCTCGCTGGAACGAGCCAGGGTGCCAGAGCTGCAGCTGCCAGGTGAGCATTCCACATACCTGCATCCACACATCTCCATATCCCCACATCCCCATGCTGTGCCTGAGCTGTGCCCACCCCAGCAGGGAGGCCAAGTGCTGTGCGAGGCCATCACCTGCCTCATACCGTGCTCCCACCCTCTGCCCGCCCCGGCTGGAGGCTGCTGTCCCAGCTGCACAGGTGAGCCCCGGCCCCCCCATTCCCGTGCCCCCCCTGTGGCCTGCTCTGACTTCCAGCTCACAGGCTGCTTGAGCAACGGGGTGGCCCACACTGAGGGAGAAGTCTTCACTCCATCAGATGGAAACTGCACCATCTGCATGTGCCTGGTGAGTGCTGTGCAGTGGGACAGGGCGGGGGCAGTCCTCCAGTCCTGTCCCGGATGCTCATGACGTTGATGGGACACACTGGAACTGTGGGATCCAAATGACGCACTGCCAAGTGCCAGGACTGACATCCATTGCTCATCCCATGACCTCCCCACATTCCTCTCTGCAGGCTGGCAATATCTCCTGCATCTCCCCCGAGTGCCCCCCAGGCTCCTGCCCCAGCGCTTCACCCCCCAACTGCTGCTCCTGCCAGCCAGGTGGGGTCCTGCCAGAGATTGAGTGGCTGTGGGTGGCTGTGCCACACGCATGGGGTCCTGGGGGGGCTCAGCTCCCCATCTCAGCCCTCGTTGCCTCCCTCCTGCCCAGCAAAATGTAGCTTCCATGGCCAGACCTACGCTCACGGAGCCCGCTTCAGCTTGGATGGGGACGAGTGCACTACCTGTGTCTGCCGGGTGGGTCCGGGGCACTTCTTATTGTCCCGTGAGTGGCACAGAGCTGCTGAGTGATGCTCCCTTCTCCCCACAGAACGGAGAGGTGGAGTGCTCTTTTGCCCCGTGCCCAGTGCTGGATTGTCCCCAGCACCAGAGGCAGCTGCATCCCGGGCAGTGCTGCTTCAGCTGCAAGGACCCCCCGCGCCCCTCAGGTGAGCTGGGGTGTGGGGCACCAGTTGGGAGAAATGGAACTGGGGATGCATTGCCACAGGGTTCGGGTGGTGTTTGTGTACCCACATGTGGCAGAGAGTGACAGGATGAGGTGCCCTCTCCCCAGCCATGTCCATGTCCCCACCAGGCTGCTTCGTGGATGACAATGGGGTAGAGTTTCCCATTGGACAGATTTGGTCTCCAGGTGATCCCTGTGAGTTATGCGTATGCCAGGTGAATGAGAATCTACTCTGTTTCACTCCTCCTACCTGTTCCCATCTCTGTCTCCATCCCCATCCCTTCTGTGTCCCCATCCCCTG